TTTGAGCGAGAGGGCGTACCTGCAAACCCTGCATCGGATGCAACGAGGGAGAAAATCACGAGCAAGTTGGGAGTAGAGTTGGATGGAGGCAAGCTGCTCTTTGCGAACGTCAAGTGGAGTTGGGAAGAGCGCTATCGCCACCTAGGAGCATGCTTTCGTGAGCTCATGGCCAAAAAGCGATAGATATGGTACGCACTGAAAATCCTGCTCCGTAGTCCTGGCGGGGCTGAAATAAGTGTGTGTAAACATTAAAGGACTTGGGCGACATACCAATCGTGCAACTGCGAAGACCCATGGTGCGAAAATGGGGAGGGGAAGGAGGAGGGGAGGAAAGGATGGCGACGAACAAAGCGCCAGCTCAGGCCCGACCATGATCTTATCAACGGGAGAACGGCCCAAAATGGTTGAGGATGTCCGGATCGAGAGCAAATCTGATCTCAAGGGGATCTGATCAAGAGCACAAACAAAAAACCAAACAAAAGCGGGCAGAAATATTGAAGATACGAGTAATCAGCGCTCAGCCTAGCACAGCCACTGATTGGTAGACTTGTTTCTGATGCACTCACGATATGTACTCGCGGCCTCCGCATCCCATACAACGGTTCACACGGGCACAAAACTGTGACGCTCGTATGCACCACATCCCAACTAGGAGGCTCTCCTACGCACCACTCCGTCACTCTACCCTACAAGTAGCAAAATCTCGTTATGAAAATAGGATTACTCAAAAAACCCCTAGAGCTCGTGTCGCACCCAGGATGCCAGCCCCACGAACAGCAGTGACTCGGAATATGCTGTATAGGCAGAGCTATGCTCTCGGTACTAAATGCATCAATTTCGGTTGTTATCACCGTGTGACCCAGTCAGATCTCGCCTTAATCACTGATGGTCCTCCCGGAGTCTGCTCGTCACCGAATACTCCTCCAGTGCGCACATCCCAGCACTATTCTCCCCTTGCCCCCTACTTTGTCTACGATCTCTAACGATTGCATTTCTTCGTCAACATGTCCTCTGTGGAATTAGTTGCATCTCAAGAGGATGCGTTGATCGAGGCTTTGGAGACGTTCAAGCGGATGAGCTATGCTTCGTGTACGTATTCTCGATTCATCTTGAACGTTACGTTTCTGAATGTACTCAAGTCGCACTAGTTGTACTGTATGCATGGGATCTTGGTGAGTCGAGAGTTATCTGTATGGCATTAGGTGTTCACAAGCTTGTTGACTGCAGTGTTAACGTTTCCAATGGAGGTGCGAAAGCCAGCCATCGCATTCGTGGAGATTATCGCAGGCTAATCCATCTAATACCAGGTTGACATGTGGGTACGCATGTTATTCCCGGAGAGTTGCGCGTATAAGTAATGACGATTAAATATCGACGCAGAGAACTAAGTTTAAGATGGTAAAACTTCTGTTCTTCTTTGTACGTCTTCAAACAGATTTTATGACACGAGCTGCTGACCATATGAGCTTGCAGAATCGATATTTCTCCCTGCTAGCAGGAGTATTTTGGGTGTGGAGTACGTAATGAGGACGTGGTCTACTTGCGTCTACGTGCGTGATCTAACTCTTGTATCTAGCAAACGTGCAATTTCCTATGTTCGACTCAAACCTTCAGCAATAGTAAGCTCTTTTCAAGTTTTATTAGTTGTCCATGTGCTGATATTCCCTAGCTGTGAGGAACGTGTCAAAACGCCTTGAACCACCTCTTTAAGTCGTGGCTTCACTTTGAATTTAATACAGGTTTTGCCACTAAGATAGGCAACGACTTCACCGGTAACTTAATAGATCATCATCGCATTGTGCCTACCCGCTGATACATAGCGTTCCTCAGGAATCATTGCCTGGTTAACTCAAGAAGGTAAGGATTCTTGTACTTACCATCCTCCGTGCTACAATAGTCACCGCAGTGATCCTGCTGCTTCACGTATTTGCGTTGTTCTCTTTTAGTGAGTGCCACAATTTCTTCGGTCAAGCAACTCCGAGTCAGACATGAACTGTGTCTGATTTCTGATAAAAGAGAGAACTGTTACTGTGCCTGTTACTGCGTTGTTCATAATATGTTGGAGCATTTACATATCAGGAGAGATACTCGAACTCAAATCCTCGCTGGCGGTGAACAGCGGTTTGTTTCGTCCTTTCTTCTGTAATGATACCAGTACTGATGCTCATCAATCAGAATCGCTTCCGTCGACCGGAATGTGTGCAGTACAGGTACCAGGCATAGTTCCTTATATGCTATGGTGAGTTTCCCTCATGACGAACATCTACCCGTTTATCCGTTCCTTTCGACAGTGTGCCAATGATGGTATGCGACTTCGTGCTCGTGGTCCTCATTGGAGCCAAGACCGTCAGATATCACCTCACGGTAATGAACACGCGGTGGAGTGGCGCAAGTCTGATGGCTAGCCTCGCGCGAGGCGCGTTTGTGTTCTACTTTATGTGAGGGATTGTGTATGATCGCGGACATACGTTCTGAAAGCTATAACCGTGCCCAGAACCTTCTTAAGCGTCTTCCTGGCGCTACTATTCTGGCTACTGAAACCAGAGCTCGTCGATATTGCAGGAGGATTTTTCTTCACTATTATGTCCATGGCCATCAATCACCTGGTCTTCAGAGTGAGGAGGACGATTGAAGATCAAGCTTACGGAGACCCTGGACTTATGGCTAGTTTGTCGATACGCTTCGGCGTTAGAGACGAAGACAGGTGGACTGAGGCATATAGCATTACGTTGGAGGACATACATGGTTAAAACGATAATATTACGAGCTGTTTGTGGTGTAGAGTTATGCCGTGCGCGTTCTTGGATAGCACCTGACGTCATCTACTGGGCAGACCTTCAGCCTCTGCATATGTAGGCAGACTCAGCTCGCGCGTCTCGTATCGAGGTAGAGCGTCCGTTTCGCCGTTTCCTGCTCGCATCGGAACTTCCGAGGCTGCCGAAGCAGGGGAGATACGCGTCGAGGGAGCGAGCGCGATTCGATCGCGAAGAGCCCGAGCTTCTTTCAGACACCTGTCTCGTGCGGCCATTCGCCGCGTACATAACCTTTGAGACCCCCATGTGGAGACTTGGGTGAGTGGTGGAAGAGAAGAAGATGTACTCGAGCGTACCAGGTACCACCGACTACCAATAAAACAACGCCTATCACGATGCCGACTGTGGCACCTACAGGGACATTTGGAAGGTTCGGTGATGTGTATCTTCGGGCTAGGGCAAGATTATCCGGCAGCGCGCCGTGGTCAATGGAGGTAACATGACGAGGAAAGACGACGATCATCGGGAAGGACACGTAACCCAAGGGTCCTAGATGGAATGGAGAATGTAGGGCCTTTTATATAGCGAAATAATACGGGCAGGTGAGGGATACGAAGAGGTGAGTGTCGGAGCGCTAAGGGAGGTTGTGTATCATTTCCGTCGGATGCTGACCTCCTGCTTCGGCACAGCTCTGACGGCGATTGGAGCCTGCATGTGCATGAACCTTCGACGTCTCGACGCTCAATACTTTGAAGACCGGCCAATACTGCAAATTCAAACGTTGATGATCCTGTGACACCCAAGATGCGCCCATCCATGTGCATGATGCCGCTTCAAGTTGAAAGACCGTATCGGTGGTATCGGCGAGAGCGTGCGATATTCTCATGCTTCTCACTGAGGGGGATATCTCCAGTATTCAACAGGGTAGTTGAGTATCTGATGCTAAGTATCTCAGTGGAAGTTGGTGCGAGAAGAGGGCGAAGCTGCCTAGCAAGAGTCGCTGTTGCTAATAGTTCAGAGGGAAAATCCTTGAAGGAATTGTCTGAGAAACCTCAAAGAAACCCTTGAAGAAACCTTAGATTGCTCATTCACAGCTACTCAGGGGCGGTTTCTGCTCGATCTGGCGTTCGCCACGTGTCTTCTGGACAATAAGCCGATCCGCCGACCCAGCCTCCGTCATCCTAGTTCTACCCCATCCCTGCGATATTCTCGCACCATCCCAAGCGTCTCTAATACGAATCGGGAAGATGTTAGCACCCGGTTTAATAAATCGCAAGGTGTATCCAATGGAGCGTACGGCGGACAGGCCCCCTCAACCGCTGTAATGGTGCCAAACGAACTTTGCTCTTCCCTCACGCTACGCCCCACCACACTCAGGTCCATGCAATTGTCCTCCGAATGAGATCAAGTATCGGCCAATGAAGAACCTTGGATGGATACACTCATTGTTAGAGCTATGTGGTCGTTGGTGAGCTAAAATAACCTGTCGCCACCATCTATGTATTTTCTGCCTTGTCATCTTGTCTCGCACCGTCAGCCGCCCCCCTCGCCCCGAGTTCCGAGCTTTTGTCATGACCAAGTCCGCTCGCTCTCTGTGGTCTTTCTGCGAGCTCCATGGATATGTCTCCACGGTGCATCCACCCATATCCTAACGACAACACTGCACTGACGCCTCCTCTGGCGCGACGAGGCTCCCAGACAATAACACAGTATCTCTGCGTCTGCATATTCGCCTCCGTACTGCCGCGTCCATGGCTTGTAGCCTCTACTTACCACGTCTCTAGACCAGCCGCGCACGGTCCGTCGTGTCGGCGTGGACGTGCCTTGTGCATGGACCCTCCAGCTTATTGTCTCGTCCCAAAGTGGCTATCCATCGTGGTAACCGAGCAAGGGTATATAAGCCAAGACTTGATCACCCGTGTGCTCCAGAATACAGAACGACCTCTGCGACGCCCTTCCATTGTTTCCTTTTCTTGATCAACTCATCCTCGCGCTAGTCGCTCTCCCAGCTTCCCGAGCCCTCCTACGTCATCCCACGTCAATCACGTCCATTTGATCTCTGCAATGGACTCCTTTGACACTCTCGTTCCCATCTCTTTCGAGTCTTCTTCGCCGTCGGGCAGCCCGGAGCTTCCCGTTGACGAGGAGTGGGCGAACCAAAGCCAGGGTCTCTACTACTGCGTCGTCGCGTGATCACCCTTGTCCTGATGAGTAGGGTTGAACCTTGTACGTTTACCACCTCTCTTATTGCGTCTCCTTGTACTCACATTTTCTCGTCATGTTATAGGAAGACCTGGTGTCTTCATACACACGGACTCCCCCGTATCACACCTCAACCGTACCATCACGTCATCAGCACGCGCTTTCTTTCACTCATCCTCATTACCACTCTCCTTCAAGTTGCGTACTGGCCTTACATCGGCGCGGTTTCGTTCGATTTAGCGAGGCAGTTGCTAATATACCGCATGTTGGACTTTTCAGATCGTGTCTACATTGGACTGGCTTAAGCCGTTACGTTTATATGACAAGTCACGATCGTAGTATTCCATTGTTTCTGTAGTCGTCGTTGCTTAGGACTTCTCCGTGTATTACTTGTAAATTACACACCTACACGAGCGGTTTCTTGAGCAACACGCCCTCTTATATACACACGCTGTGCGATGAGTATGTGAGGTTACAAAATTTGACGGGGCGTAGTGAGCGGATACGCTATTGTCTCTGTTATTGTCTTGCACCGCCACAATACCACCCATCCTTCCTTCGTCTCCTCGCACGATGGCCACATCCACCTCCCCAGCAACAGACGTCGTCTTTATCGAGTCCCTCTCCCTCTCCGCGACGATTGGCCCCGACTGCTGGGGCCGGACACGAGCACAGCCCATTCTTCTTTCCGTCCACCTCCACCTGCGTCCATCCTTCCTCGATAAGTCTGGCGCGAGCGACAAGGTCGAGGACAGTGTGCATTACGGCCACCTCACCAAGGTCGTCTCGCAGCTCGTCGCCGCGCGCGAAAATCCATCAAATGCCTCGGAGCAGGGGTTCCAAAGCGTGCACAACCTCATAGGCGCGGTCGCGCAGGCTGCGTTCGGCCTCGCGGGCGCCATGGCCGAGCGCGTGCACGTACGCGTCGAGCTGCCCAAGCTCGTGCTGCTCGCGGAGAGCTGCGTGTTCGAAGCGGACGTCTCTTCAGCGTCCAACTTGTCCTCGGGCGCGGACGTAGGAGCGCTGACGGTCCACGTCAAGGACGTCGTCCTCCCCGTCCTCATCGGCGTCAACCCTCCCGAGCGCCTCGCGAAGCAAAAGGTGATCACCAACCTCACCTTCTACGAACATCCATCTAGCCCGTCAGATTCAGAAGGCACAGAAGAAGTAGATTATACCGCGATCGTGAAACGCGTTGCAGAGGTACGTCTTCCGCTCCATCGATCGCTCTGATCTCGTACTTTGCCGATAGGAGATCGAGCGATCCGAGTACCTCACGCTCGAGAAGTTCGTCATGGAGGTCGTGCGCATCGCCTGTATGGCATCGCCCCGTATCGCCCGCGTCACCGTACGCGCGCAGAAACCGAGCGCGCTCACGTTCGCCCACTCGTCCGGCGTGCAGATCACGCGAGATCGGAGCGCTTTCGTGGGTTGACGTCGACGAGACGCCAAAGAAGCGGCCAGCAGTATGCTCAGAAGGTGTGTATCCATGTATATTACACGCATGTGTACAGCCGAAAATCTATGTACAATCGAAAATGCAAAAGGGCTGTTTAGGCCCAAATGTTCTGTCGCAAAACCCAGAGCTGAGAAACATCTAAAACATAAAACAGTGCAGGTCTAGTCATACAAAACCGAAGCAAAACCGAAGCAAGTGCGCATACAAACACAACAAAATCTACATCCATAATTCACTTGGCTCCCTTTCCATTGACCTTTCCAAGATCCACCGTGAACTCAACTCAAGCGCTCGCGTTCGCAAACTGCTCCAAAGCGACGACCGACTCCCTGGCGTCCAACCTCCACTTCGCATCCGTGCCCTTGCCACTCGTCGAGCACGTCTCGGCGCCCTCGAGATCGTTCAGCCTCCGCAGCAGCTTCTCGTCGCTGCTCACGGCGAGGACAAAGCTCGCCTCGTCGCCCATGCCCACCTCGCCGAGATCGTCTCCGCCGCCGAACGCGTTGGTCGCGGGGGAGAGCCACGCGGAGCGGGGCGCGACGGCGGGCGAGCGCGCGGGGCCGCCCGGGTGCAGGATCGCGCCGACGGCGGTCGAGCGGGAGATGTTGTTGGGCAGGACGAGGAAGGAGTTGGCGCCTGGGATGATGCGTAGGCCGTAGCGCTCGCCGAGGCTAGTGAGCGCCATGGTGGTGAGCAAGTAAGAAGAAAAATCGGATCTGAGAGAACGTACCTGTCAAAGATGTGGTTCTGCGCCTCAGCAGCCTGCCTGCGCGCCCACTGCCTATCAGGGCAGTTTTCGTCCTTTGCGCCCGACCAAAACCGCCAGACCACGCTCGCCTCGCGCTCCTCTACGAACGCACCCGGAGTCCGCTCCGTGAACTACGTCAAAACCACACTGTCAGCACCCGCAAAACAGAAGTGCGAAGAAGAAGGAGCACACACATAGTTCAAAATCTCAACACACGGCCCCTTCCACGTCATATTAAAGCTCCCCAGCATGCTCACCCACTCCGCCGGCTCCCTCCGCGTACCCCTCGTCCGAATGAAACACCCGTTCTCCGCGACAACGCCCACGCCCGGCACCGCCTCCGCGACCTTATCAAGCACACCCTTCGCCTGCAGCCCGCTGAGCACCCACACCTCGTTCCGCGCGTCCTTGACGAGCCGCCGGAGGACGTTCACGGGCCCCTCGGGCAGGCCGGTGAACGGCGCCTGCAGCGCGGCGCGCGACATGTCGCGCAGCCAGAGCGTGCCCTCGAGGTCGAACAGCAGCAGCCGGCGGCTCGAGTACTTGTACCGCGGCAGCAGGCGCGAGACGTCGAGCGGCGACGGGTGCTGGACGGTGCTGCTGCTCGTGCTGCTGCTGTGCTGCGACGCGAGGTGTTCCGTGTGCGCGCGCAGACAGCGCGCGAGGAACGAGGTGACAAAGGCCTGCGCGGTCTGCGTGACGACGTGGTTATGCAGGTCCTGCATGCACGGCGCGGCGTCAACGAAAAGGACTGAAAGGGTGGCACAACACGACACTCACCACCCAGCGCTCTCTCGCCTCCTCATCCCCCATACTCAGCGCTCGGTTGATCGCATCCCCCGTCCCACGCGTATCCCACGGGTTCACCGCAATACAGCTCCTGAACCCGCTATAACTGTAGCTCCCCGTGAACTCGCTCAGAATGAGCGGCCGGTGCCGCCCCTCCTGGCACTCGACGAACTCGTGCGTGCGCAGCGCCATGCCCTCGCGCAGCGACGTGACGAGGAACGCGTCTGCGACGGTGAGCAGCGCGAGGTACTGCGAGAACGTGAGGTCCTGTGTGTGCAGGAACACGATCGGCTGGTATGTGAGCGTCGAGAACTGCGAGTTGACGCGTGCAACGACGTCGGAGACACCGCCGGCGAGCTCGTTGGATTCGGTGGTTTGGAGGGCAACTTGGATGAGGACGACCTGAGAAGATATAGCATGTTAGGGACGAGGTACAAGACGCAGAAAAGAGGATACTGTACCTTGCCCTGCGACTCCGGGTGTTTCTTGAGGAAATGCGCGAATGCTTCGAGCTTATGTCTGACACCCTGAAATAGCGCAGTCAGAATCTTTACGATTAACTAGAAATACACAGTACACACCTGGATCTCGTCGAGCTTATCTCTGCCAACGACAAGCTTCATGCCTGCATACCGCTGCTTGAGCAGCTGCACCCAGTACTCGACGTCCGGCTGGCGTCTGCGACAACCCAGGTTAGCCCAAACAGCGCATACACCAGTCTCGCGAGCCAAACACTCACTTCTTCTCCCTCAACGCACCAACATCAATCCCCATCGGGAACACGCCCACCTCGACAAACCTCCCCTGCTTCACATCCTCCCCGTCCCCATCGTCTGCCCTCCCATTCACACCTGTCTCCTCCCCAGCTTCCCCGTCCTGCACACGCTCCCCATGTCCATTCACCGCCTCACTCCCACTCGTCGCACCCTCAGCCTCGCTCTGCGCCTCGACCTGTACACCCTTGGGCAGCGACTCGAGCGCCAGAATGCGCGAGACCGTCTGCCTAAAGTGACGCGCAAAATTGGCAGTTTGAAAGCCGACCAAGTCGGCGCCGAGCAGACCGCGCAGGAGCGGCTCGCGGACCGCGAGGCAGCGGAAGATCTCCGAGGAGGGGAAGGCGACGTGCATGAAGAACCCGATGGGCGCGTCCCGCGTGACTGGGGAGGCGCGCAGCAGGGCGGGGAGGAGCATGAGGTGGTAGTCGTTTACCCAGACTGTGGGTCATGTCAGTGAGTGGAATGCGGATGGTAGGGAGGGGAGACGTACTGATGTCGCCTTCTTTGTAGTTTGCAATGATCACGTCTGCAAAGCGCTGGTTGACGGCTTGGTACTGCTTGAACGACCCGCTTTCATAGAAGAGCTTCGTTTTCGGCGCGTCGGGGACCGCGTAGTGCAGAGCTGGCCACAAAACCTGCATATACTCGTTGAATAAAAGTCACGTACACCAAAAAGGAGCGAAAACGCACCTGATGACAAAACTCATCATAGCAACTCTCAAACTCGTTATCCGGGATCCACACCGGCACACTCTTCCACCCTTCCGACATGCGCATATCCACGTCCTTCCTCAATACGTCGCTAAAGTCGTCCGTCTTCGTGCCCAACGTGCCCACCCACATCTTATCCGAGAGCCGGTCCCTCACCGCGTCAATCGCATTCTTCAACCCGCCATTACAATGCGAGTTGCTCTCCGTATGCCACGGCACCTCCACCATGCCGTCATCGCTCGCCTCACCGATATGGCCGAGCACACTCTTGGGCGACCCGGGCGGCACGGACGAGTTGCGCGCCGCCGTCGCCATGGCAGACGGCGCGCGCGGGTGCTTGCGCTGCAGGCGCGAGACGTGCGATGTGTCCGGGTGTGTCGTCTGGAACTTGCGCGGCGGGCCGATCGGGTTCATGGGCGTCTCGCTGAGCCCTGTGGCGAGTGTGACGGCCTCGTCGGCTCGAGATATGCCGTTGGAAGGTGCGGGGCTGACAGTGTGGGCGCCATTGAGGTTGTCGGGGTTTAGGCTAGCTGTATTGCCGTTAGCTTGGGTGAGGCGGAGACCAGCGAGGGCGGCGGTGAGGTTGAGAGGGGGATTGCCTGCGTGCGAGCTGAGAGGGGAAGTTGAGCCGCTGACGGCGCGGCTGTGAGGACGAGAGCCGGGACTTTGGGCGGTGAGCGAGGCGAACTTGGAGAACGGGTTAGAGCCCTCGGAGCCTGGTGTCGAAATAGGAGTGATGGCCCGTGATTGTCGGGACTAGTAAAACGTATGTTTTATGGTGTATGCAATAACGCAAAGTGGTAGTGCAAGACAATGGCGGAGGAGGGGAACAGTGTAAGCGCGGCTCTGATCATGACGTAACATAAACGCGCACCTTGAGATCTTCGACGATGCTCTTCAGCGGTGGGTTTCCGCCCAGCGATCGCGAGTGCTTGTGCTGGAACGGCGGTCTCTCGGGTGGCGGTGAAGCGGGTGCGGGTACAGCGACGGGAGCCGGGGAGAGGGGTCCTGCGCCGGTGAAGCCAGGATCGGGAGACGGCGGGTTGGACTCGCCAATGACGGCGGTGGTCGGGAGAAAGAGGGAGGCGATAACGACGCGATGGTTTCGAAGGTGGCTCATCGTCGTCGTGGTCTACGAGAGAGAAAAGGAGGGGAAAGGGAGGGGAGGGGTTTGGGATGGGGTGGGATGTTCCGAGGGGGGTGGAGGAGGTCGTCTGGGCTATGACGGAGTGACGTCTTCCAGGTGCATATGCGTATGTTTGCCTCCGGATCTCCGTCTGTTGCCCCGCCCGCGCAAAATCACCCCCGTCTTATATCTGGCCACACCCTCCGCACATCCAAGTTCATCTGCCTAGTTTTTATCCGGTTGCGTCTCGAAAAAGCACAGATGATATGCGCGATAATCCTAGCGGTCTCGGCCGCAGATTATCCGCCCGTCGTGCGCCCGTCCGTGGCCCGCGCTGGACCGCATCGTTCGCAGCCACGTTTGCCGCCTCGTCCAGTCTCATTCGCGCCTCATACCACGCGAACGGGCCCTGACCTTGAACTGGTCCAGGAAGCACAACTGAATGAGGTGAGCTGTGCTATAATTCTACCATCCGACTTGTTCCGCTGTATTATAACCACCACAATCAGATTTGGATCACACGAGCCGCCCAACGGAAGCAGAGCAAACCCTTGTCGCCGAGTTTCCATGACTCTCCTTCCAAGCCTTTCCCACATCTGTCCCTATATGCGCTGTGCTGCCCCTGGACTTTTCTGGTTCACGCTGCCCAAACTCCGGATGATCGATGATAACAGGGTCCCGGCGTCTGCAAACGCACTTTTGTCCTTGGTTCTGGATCTGCTGATCGATCCAGACTTGCGCATCGACTAAGATTGGACTGCCAACGTTGATCAGAAATGAACAAATCCCGTACGCCGAAGTTCTTGTGGGGTTCATCCGATGCGCCGCGATCAGGAAGCGGGGCCAACATGGCCTGCTTACAGTGCTTCTTCGGACGTGGTTCCGCCGTCTCCTACCTTACCCTTGAGCACGTCTTGGCTCAGGCCTCAGGCATGACCCTCCCAGTGCCTATATGCGCGGTTTTATCCACCGTCAGGGTCGTGAGCGCCCAGGCCGCCACTCAGATAACCAAAGCATCCCATTGGCGTCCTTTAATCTCTATATCTCAAGGGGCTGTTTGCATCTCTACGCCGTTACGGACCAATATTCCATGGACCTTTGCGAGCGGATAGTATCTTCTTTCGGTGTACGGCGCACCCACGGCCGAGTGCTTGCGAGCAAGTTCGAGAAGTTCCAGGCACTTCGGCCTCCATAATATTGCCCCCGAAACCATCGTATCATCGTCATACGAGACGTAGTATGTTCGTCATAAGCCTTGCACTCCTTATTCCGTTGGAATGGCACAGAAATTTCGTGGCTCTTATTCTGTAGCTGCTGTCTCAATTGTCTCATTTCTCTCTAGTGCATTCATCCGATATCATCTCTGCGCCGCGCTTGACCCCACCACCTGCAATACGAACCCAATGACACACGTCGAGTCAAGTATACTTTCCATCTGCACCCTGGGTCTCCCCCCTGACAATTTCAAAACGCCTTTTTGGCGTCTCTGCCCATGCATATGCCTGGGACAACTCGCGCGCGCCGTTCGCGGCGCTGACTCCGGGCCAGTTTTTTCCGTCTGCGTCGGTGCACGGGAGCTACCGTACGTTGTTACCATCATTCCACGCTGAAACGCTCAAGTCAGGCACATCAGGGTGTGAGCGGAGCGTGCCCTTATGCCCCACAACGCAGCTCGCATACGCAGAGTATGTGCCATCCTCGTCCTAGGATGTATCATGCCCGTCGATTTTTACTTACCGTGATCGGTGTAAGAAGGCTGCTTTGTCTAGTACAGAGAACAATCACTGACTGCGGTTACAAGTGGCGTTCGGAGAGCGATCAGGATCAGAAAGCACATTCCATCAGTTGCTGTGGTAAGTTAGATTTTGAACTATGATTCTGGCACAATAGTGTTGATTTGATCAGTCACTTTCTCAAGGCACCCGTTCTCCCCATCTCCCTCGCGTGCAGCCTTGGCCCCATAGCGGCCTATAAAAACGGGTAGATCTCATCCGAGTCTTATTCGGATTTTGTTACGCGAATGAAGACCGTCGGCAGGCGTTAGCTCCACACCTAATAGCAGTGGTGACAATGCTTGAATCTCAAGCTATCGAATGGCCTGCTGACCCCTTACAAAGTTCTTGCCTGCTTACCTCAGTTGCTGAAGTACATATCAATCCAGCATCCGGCTTTCTAAATCCATAGTCCAATCAGCCAATCACCCTCCGACACTGTTATCGCTGCTTCCGGCTCAGAAATGACTCGCTGATGTATCTATTATTGTGCATCAACCAGAGCCCTGCACTGATACCCATCGCTTTACGGGCTGCATTCTGGGGATATAAGTAAGTCCTTGCATCGACAGCAATGAGGGGCTGTCACGCATACCGTCGACAATCCCCCCCTCCGACCATCCTATCCCGGGCGCATTCGCGAGTCATATTTTCCCGGCCAAAATTCGAGCCTAAACCTGAAGTCATCTAGTCTACCTTTCACTGCTCTCCCCAAAGACGTACAACTTCATCTCCCACTCTTCCCGGCAATGAACGCAGGCCTGACGTTGGCGGAGTTAAATTCCGTCGACGAGGATGTCATTAATAGAGTATTGAAGGCGATGCCAGTCTGCCGGCAGATATCAGGTACGTTATAACTTCATTTGATCTGTCAACCTCGTTGCGGTTAACATCAGGCTGGTCTGGTGTGTAGCTTCTTTAACGGCGTTGTATATATGGGACCTTCGTAAGCATTGGTCAAGCCTAATAGCTTGCAGCAGTAACACATACTCCAGTCATCACATTATCGGACGAGGTTAGATACTCCGTTCAGATGACAGAAGCTCTGTGCTGAGTCCATGATCAACGCTATAGGTAAACCTGATTTGGGTAAGATTTGCGTTTATAGCTCCCCAAGCAATGCACATCATCAGTGAAGCTGATTTTGACTCGATAGAGACCCGGTTTTAAGCTTCCCAAAGTCTTATACTTCTTCGTAAGTAACATCTTACATGAATTTCACGTGCCCTCACTGTGTTCGGCATACATTAGAACCGCTACTTTGCGCTCCTCTCTGGTATTCTGCAAACGTACTGTCAGATTGATTGTCTTTTTATACCATACCTACGCTGACGCCGTACATGTAAGCAGCTGTGGTCAACACTCACGAAACAAGTGAACTGTTAGTGGTTTGGTTTGTGTTATATAGTTCCATATACTGACCACGAGTGTAGCTGTGCGTTTTGCTCATTGTGAGAAATAGACTTTACAACTTAAATTCAAACTATATCAGGCTATATTTGGAATAGTGTAACGATTGTGGCTGGTGAGAGCCGACTTCTTTAGTGATAGCAAATACACTTATACTTTTGATATGGCCCTGAATCCAACGCTAGCATTTCTGGTATGGAGTATTGGGGAAGGCTAGTGTTACACCCATATCTTAGTACCAATCGAAACTGACAACCTTTCAACAGCAATTCTTCTGTGTCACGTCAGGGCTATCTTTCAAACTAGTACGACCTTGATCCAAGAGTGCTTCATTGTATGGAACGATGGCTTACACATTATTTTGAATTTAGAAAGGGCGATTACATTGCCAGTGACGGTGCTATATGTGATGACTGTAGCGTTTGCCTTCACCACAGATATCTCCAACGCCATTTTGACCAAGGGTACGTTGTACGCGGTGCTCCATTTTTCCTGTCAGCTATTCATCAGTACTGTTGGCCATGCAGTATTAGAGCTGCGGTCTGGAGTATGTGTCATGCAGCCTATTCCAGTATCGTTTTTGATCTTCAGTTAGTAAGTCTCAATCTCTTTCACTTCACCCAAGGTCACTTTATAAAGGTGGAAATAGTACCAGCATACCGAAGTTTATTCTGGACGTTGTATTCGTGACGTTGATCGGCTTTAAAACGACCACGTACTACATGCAAGCCTTAAACAAGAAATGGAGCGGAGCCATCCTCATGAAAACTCTCGGTCAAGGCGCTTTCTTATGCTACTTGAGGTGAGCCCACAAAGTCGCGATCATAAAGTGTGATGGTATGACTAACTTCGATCGTTTAGCATTTGCCTGACGATCCTTCTCCTCATGCTACTCCCCCTCTTGGCTCCGGAATTCTTTTTCATTGCCGAAAGCGTCTTGTTCTCATTATTTGCGATGACTGTCAATAGGCTTGTTCTTGGTATGAACAAGGCCAATTTACGTGGTTTGAACGACTTTACAAGCCAGCACTCGCATGAGGTAGACATTGCATTTGCCATGTCTACATCATTCACGGTCAGTATTTTCTGCATCAGACATGTTCGGGTCACAAGCTAACATGTCTGTGAAACATTTGTAGTTGACGTAACACAGAGCTATAATGATGACGCATGCAATGCTGTTGGGCTAGAAAATTAATTACCTCGTGGATCTTGGTGCTAGAACCGATTTCATATATGCTCAAACTCAAGATGTTTCATAACATCTCTTCATAGATGAGCGACTTGTGGAACGAGCTAAGAAGAATTTAAGGTTAAGCGGGTGAAGGAGGACTATATGCTGATGAACACTGATATTCCAGTGTATGTAGTTATTGTTCCTTACCTTTCCGATTCTCTGCCGAGTTGACCCGGATTCAGTTGTCCACGCCAGCACTGTAACCGCTCCGACAGAGAGCCAACCGAATATGATCCCAAAGATAGTCGCCGTGCCCGCGGTACCTGCGAAGCCGGACATATACTTTGGATGTTACAGTCTACATTATGGTCGCACATATACCAGGCCTACATTGATCGTGTTCACGTGTTGATGATCTCCCTCGTAGGCATCGAGTACTCCGCGACTGCTGGCAGTGCACTCAGTACTTACCCACCTTTTGATCGCCGTGCACAGTTGCGCATTGCACCTTGCCATTACCATTAAAGAAAGCTGGGTTTGTGACGATGTGGATCTCCCGCGCCCCTCGCACTAGCAGCAAACTCCGCCCGAGTCGGTGCCTGAGAGCTGCGCCAATACCGTCATTCATGCTGAAACGATCGGGCCGGGAGTTAACTGTGCTCTCGGACGTAGCGCTAGCGCAGCATTCACAAAACAACAACGCACAATTCTCCTTTAGAGGGCGCACAGACCAAACCAAAGCCGCCATGGTTGTTGCAAAACACCTGATGTAAGAGTTATTCGACCCATGCTATTGGAGTGGGATTGATAGGTTTTAGATATGGTACTTGACGCGTACAATAGTAACCGCAATGTACCTCTCGTCATTCGCTGTGGCTTAATAGGGACCAACGGCTATGATCATCCCAAGTTTCAGCTGTCACTCCAGGCGCACATCTCCCCCGTGCCCTTCGCGCGCAATCGGAGTCCCACAACCGTTCAGGAAAAGGGCATGCCTTATCACTTCAGGTGAGAGTGCATGTATGGAGCCGATTCCCAGACAACAAAAGTTGACGTCTAATGTACTTATGAGTAACAATAGTTTACGAAGCGCGCGCCCCACCCCGAGCGGTATAAAATCGACAGCAATGAGGCATTGTCGTGCCCCATCCTGCTGGCTACGTCTCCGACTCCCGAGATAATTCAACTACGCTCGCCCTCCGATGAACGGAAACTTGATTTTAACGGCAGCATTGGAGGTAGATGGTGTCAATGTGAAGGATCTCGACAATATGTTGAAGGGTATGCCGATGTGTCGGCAGGTTTCAAGTACGATTCTTCGTTGATATGTTCATTCCGCTGCTGATTTCCTTAACCCTTGTCCACGATTCAGCTGCTCTGGCGGTTCTATATGCGTGGGACACTCGTAAGCCGCTGTTTTGCCCACACGATTGTAGCAGTGCATCGCTCATTCCTCCAGTGATCACGTTCTCAGATGAGGTAAGTAGGAATATCACGCTCTAGCGACCAAAGCCCTATCTTAAAGTCAATTCGTTGTGCTGCAGGTGGATCTTATATGGGTACGTACGTGGCTCTCCAGCATGAACATTCAATCAAGAACATTACCGTTGCCACCAGAGATCCGGGATCAAGCTTCCTAAAGTTCTATATTTCGTTGTAAGCTACGATCCTCACGTGTTATCATCTTCTAAATGCCTTGGTGTAACTTAGAACCGGTACTTCGCTCTCGTCTTTGGGGGTCTGCAGGCATACTGTCAGATAATAGATCCTTTGGTATGACTCTCTCATGCTGACGAGCTATCTATGCACAGTTGCGATTAATGCTCATGAAACACCTGAAACGTTGGTAATTCATGTCGATACAATTGAGCTGGCTAATTTCAGAAATAGCTGTACGTTTCTTACACTCTGGACCATGGTTTCATAAACCGAAGTGGGGTTTCTTAGGTCATGCCTGGACCGGATTAACAACTATGGCTGGTAAGGTTCCACTATCCTCGTTCAAGCAGTGGTGAATAACTAATTCTATCAATACTAGTATTTGTAGTATGGTTCAACGGGGAAGGCAAGCGTCACGTTGATAGGTTACCCCCCAGGATAGCTAACAGTTCCACAAAAGCCGTCATTTTGTGTCACATCAATGCCATATTCCACCATCGTACGCGCTTCATTAACATGACCTCCAAAGTAAAGCGCTTACGCATAGTATCTAATATCAAGGAAGAATCATAACATACTTGGCTACGGCTCTTTATGTGGCTACTGCAGTGTTCGCCCTTGTTGGGAATGTCGCCTACGTCGTTTTGAACAAGGGTATGTCACAAGTGACGCTGCGTTCATTGCCTTCGGCCCTCGCTCACGCTTGCTGCATACACAAGCACCAGTGGAGCTACTCGGGATTTGCATCAGAGAGCCTGTGGCAGTGTCGTTTCTAACCCCTACCTAGTAAGTTTCCATGCGAGACCTCCATTGTCATCTAACATAATCTCTCACAGCGTCAGCATACCGATGCTAGTGTTGGACATTGTGTTCATGACGTTAATTGGATATAAGACCATAACATATTACGCTCAGTCCGTCAACAAAAAATGGGCAGGAGCAGCTCTCATGAAGACTCTCGGTCAAAGGGCATTCATATGCTATCTAAGGCAGGTTTACTGCACTGGATCATCGATACATGACTAATAATCCAGCGTAGCATCTTTCTGACAATAGTTCTGTTCATGCTACTTCCGCTTGCAGAACCATATGTCTTCTTTGTGGCGCAAAGCGTCTTGTTCTCTTTCTTTGCGATGGCGATAAATCGTCTCGTATTGGGCATGAACAAGGTCAACATGCAACAGCTCCGCGGTGATCAGACAACGGGTGTAACAGAATCTTCGGTCGTGTTCGCCTTAGATGCACCGTCGGGGGTTTAGCCTTCTCTTTGTAATAATATTATCATAGTTCTTTCGGATAACAGGAGTCCAAGGGACATGAATTGCACACGAGCAACATAAGGTGCCTAGTAACAGATCATAACAGGTCACAGTAGCAGGCGTCCACATAGATTCAGTGGACATTAGCAATCTCAAAATACTAACGCCATGCTAGCAAAATCTGATTTTACAGTAGAGAACTGCTATCATTGTCGTGTCGAACGATCGTTCCGCCGTTGGGAGTTAAATTTGAGTCGTATCTAACCAAACACTGCCCTAAAGAGCACCAGCAAGCAATTGTGCAATACCTTTTTTGGTGTCGCCACACCAGGCTGTGCCTGGAACTCCGCAGCCCGCTCGCGCCGCTCGTAGCGCTGACTTCGGGCCAGTTGCTCCCGTCCGACTCGGTGCATGAGAGCTACGCTGGCACCACCATTCTATGCCGAAACGCTCGGGTCGGTCACATCGGGATACGAGTATAGTGTGCCATTATACTAAACAACACAGCTCGCATACGCAAAAGCTGCGCTATCCTCTTCCCTAGTGTTCGTTTACCTCAGCTGCTGGACTACACAGCAATTCAGCCTCTGGCTTCCTATATCCAAAGCACAACCAGCCAATATCCCTCGACAATGTTATCACTGCTCCCGGCTCAGAGATGGCTCAGAGATGAATCGCCGGCGCTTCAATAACGATGGCATCAACCTGAGCCCCGTGCTATTCCCTATATCTTCTCACCGCACCGCATGGTACAAGTATAACTCATTGCATCGACAGCGGTGAGGTGCTGTTACATCTGCTTCTGGTGAGGTCATCACCCAGGAACCCGTCCCAGCCGTAGCTGCGAGCTATATACACATTATTAAGTCTGGCCTGGCGAAAACTGGAGTTCCCGACCTTTCCCTGTACTAAATTCTCTGCCGACGTAGGACAAAGCTGCGTCCTTCACCTTCCATCCGATGGACGCCATATCAACAACATCGGAGGCAGACCCTGCCAACGTGAAGGTTATTCGCAGTGTGCTCCAGGGGATGCCAGTCTGCCAACGAATTTCAGGTTCGTTCATATTACACCTCACTCCGTTAGTTCCCTGTGACGAACATCCGGTTATTCCTTAATATAGCTGCTCTGGCGGTGTTGTATGCATGGGACCTTCGTAAGCCTGACCAGCTTTGGAACTCGCAGCGATGACACTCATTCATCCAGTCATCACATTATCGGACGAGGTAGAAACTTTCGTTCAAGTGACAGTAGTCTTACACTGAAACCGTTGGACAACGCTTTAGGTGGACCTTATATGGGTAAGAGTAGGTTTTTAGCTCAAAGAGCCAGTAATTAACATTGTTGGCGCTTGTTTTCGACTTGATAGAGACCCGGGATCAAGCTTCCCAAAGCCTTGTACTTCTTTGTAAGCAGCAATCTACATGTCTCTTTCACGTCCTCTTAATGTATCCGGCGTACATCAGAACCGTTACTTCGCCCTTCTCGCCGGGATATTGCAAACGTACTGTACGACTATCAACCTTTTTACATGGTTTGCCCACGTTAATTTTGCGCTCGTGAGCAGCTGTGGTCAATACTCGTGAAACAGCTGAACTGTTCGTGGTTTTTATTACGTGGTCACAGATACTGACCGCAAGAGTAGGTGTACGTCGTGTTCACGATGAACAATGGGCCCAAGGAACCGAACTGAAGGATTTCAGGTTACGCGTGGAGCGCTGTAACGGTTATGGCTGGTAAGCGCTTGCCTCCATGTTGAAACTCCCATCAATGTTTAATATGATAAAACGCTAGCTTTTATGGTGTGGAGCATTGGTGAAGGCGAGTGTCACGCCCACATCCCGACACCCGACATACTGTACCTACACGACCGTAGGTTCGTCACGCCTCACGCTTGACCCGTAAAATGAACTTGAGACCTGGTTCGTCACCCATCACACAAGACAGTGAACCTCACCGCGTGACGAAAAAAATGTTAAGACTCTTCTATTCTGATGTAGTAAACCCGTTCAGCTGCTGCAGTGAGTGTTTTCTGCATTCTTTTTACTGTGAATTTTCAAGAGTTTCGAAACCCTTACCGCGACCACAGTTGACCGGCAGGCTTCAACTTTGATTCAGTCATCCCGGTGGCGAGGGCTTGAGACGCCTGTATACAAACCCAATGGACGAAGCATACAGACGTTGTAAAAGGTGGTCCGTGTTGCCTTCAATGTTTCTCCTTCTGATAAAACAGAGTCCTAGGCTTGACCTTCGTTGTCTTCGGCAGTGATGTCTTGGTGATGTCGCCAACCTGGAACCCTGGTTCAAAGTCACGCGTTCGCCGGACATTTGAACTTTGGTCTCGCCGGAACTTATTTTGATTCCATGTCACGCAAAAATCCCTTGAACCTACAGTCGTGTAGGTACAGTAGTTGATAACCTTCCAACAGCAATCCTTCTGTGCCATGTCAGGGCCATCTTCCAGTCCAGTACGACCTTAATCCCAGAGATGTGAATTGAATAAAGCAATGGCTTACGAAGTGTTTTGATCTAGGAAGGGCGATCACATTTCCAGTGACTGTCCTATACGTGGTCACTGTAGCGTTTACATTCACCACAGATGTTTCTAATGCCATTTTGACCAAGGGTACGTCTTAGACGGTTTCGTATCTGCCCCGACAGCTATTCATCAGTACTGCGGTCAACCAGTATCAGAGTTACGAGTTGGAATATGCGTTAGGCAGCCTGTCCCAACCTCGTTTTTGAGCTTCACTTAGTAAGCCTCTATGTCTTACGCGCGTGATCAACTTATAAAGGTGAAAATAGTACCAGCATACCAATGTTTACTCTGGACGCTATATTTGTGACGCTGATCGGCTATAAAACGACCACTTACTACATGCAAGCCTTAAACAAGAAATGGAGCGGAGCCATCCTCATGAAAACGCTTGGTCAGCGCGCTGTTGTATGCTACATGAGGTGAGCTCACAAAGCTACGCTCAGAATGTGCGATGGTGTGACTGACTTCGAATTATAAGCATTTGCCTGACGATCCTTCTCCTCATGCTACTCCCCCTCTTGTCTCCGGAATTCTTTTTCATTGTCGAAAGCGTCCTGTTCTCGCTGTTTGCAATGGCTGTTAATAGGCTTGTTCTTGGTATGAACAAGGCCCATGTACGTAGTTTGAACGACTGCATAAGCGGACGCTCGCACGAGGTAGACATTGCTTTTGCCATGTCTACATCAGTCACGGTCAGTATCTTTTGCATCAGAAATGTTCGGTCACAAGCTAACATGTCTGTGAAATATTCGTATTTGACATTGGACAGAGTCCCAATGATGACACATGTAATACCATTGAGCTGGGAGATTACCTTGGGGTGTTTGAGGCTAGAAGCTATTAGATGTTTCTATCTTAACTCTCCGTTCGAGCATTGTGACCAAATCAATCATGCAAAATAACATCAATTCCCAGATGAGGCCTAGCGCACAGAACTTCGCCTTCTTCTATACCTAAACGTCTGACATTTTATGTGACCACTTCGACACTGCGCCTAGCAGCCTCCGGGATGCCTGTTTGGTAAATAGGAAAATGGTTCTAGCCCGGACTCGTACATCATTGTCACTGGTGGTAGCTTGCTCGTCACGAAACTTGACCATTGGCAGAAAACCAGATGTGGTTCTAACCTCCTACATATTCACCCAATGTACCTATCAAACAACGACTTATAGAACTAGCTAAGAAACATTTGGGTCTAAGCGGGAGAGCCAGGACTATACGCTGATGAATACCGATATTCCAGTGTATGTAGCTACCGTTCCCCACATAATCTGAATCCCAGTTCGGCGTCTTCATAATGTACCAATCCCATCCCGAAAAGGAGGGTGCTTTGACGATACACCTTCAGATGACCCGAAGCGTGCAAAGACAACGGCAGAGCCATCACGTATCCGAACCCCGTTGTTTAAACCAATACTTTCCTCACTCTCAAAATGTAGCTCAGCAGTGGGGTTCAAGCAGATTTGAACGACTATCAGAGAAAAGTTGACTCCCTAAAATATCGTGAGCAAGCTTAAATGCGGGAGGAACGCATGACTCGCGATGAGGGGTACAGCCTTGCGACATGGGTCATTAATTGCTGGTATAGCTCCTGAACGTAGTAAACGGTGCTTACTGCATTTAATACCATGTCAATCCACGCTACATTCGAGTATACCCCCGCTCCGTAAGAGCTCGCAGCGATGGATACCAAAAGAAAAAAGATGAGTAGACTGTGTATAGCTCCGGATTGGAGAAGAACGAGTGCCACTGTTCGTGGTTTGATGCGAGTGTGGTCTTGCGCGCTGTCAGAGAAGTGACGGTGGACACGCATAGTTTTGGCGGCAATAGAGACTACACCAGCAAACAGTTAAGCTTGTGTCGGATGAGAAGCGACAATAGAAATACCCGTGCATCCAAAATGAACCAGAAAGCTGAACGCATATGAGCACATGCCTATCGCCGTTCCAGATCGGCCGATCGTTTTATCGAAGTTCTCGCCTTTCCCCTTCAGTTCTTCTACATCAGCAATATCAATGTAGATACTAATTTCTACTGAGACGATGAACAAAGCTTTGGAGATTCGGCTATTAAGGCCTAGATAGGGATAACATCATGATGCGACTCACCTGCATTCGCAATAAATATGGCTGACATTGGATATACCACACGTTTGTCGTTTTCCCAAACTTTCCAGAGCCGGTAAAGCTACATTAATTCGGAGTATCAGAGCGGATAAAATAGAAATCGACTTGTTGAGAGTGTACTCACCATAAATCCGTCGCCCAATAGAAGCTGGATCAGGAACAAAATACATCCGCACGTCTGTAGTTCCAGATCCAAAGGGAAGATGCTCTCACTCTGTGTCGTGGATAGCTGTACGTCAAGGGAGCTGTTTAGATAAACAAGGGACAAAGAAAAGCTAATGTGCTTGGACCATGTCACTCATTTGGCATATAGTGCGAGATTCTACGTTACTCACCGCGGTTGCTATTAACATCATCAGAATGCCCATGACTATGACCGGTGTGTTCAGCTTAGATTCTCTGAGCCTGCTTCGGGTAGTTGTGATACAGATAACAAGCATATGCAAAACACAGAGAGCTCCTAAGAGAGAACCGTGAGCACGTAAAGTTAATGGCGGATGTCTTGGAAAGATCCTACCATATAGAATCGCTTCTGGAACGATTATCCAAAACTCGTAGACAACGGAAGCCAATGTGCCCATCATTGTGCCCAAGGAATACGATCGGTCAATGACGGGAAGCACGTATCTTGTAGGAAACGAAACAGACGTAGGCAGTATTCAAGCGTACAAAGGTAGCGATAGAGTGCTGAATATACACATTTACTTAAATCAACATGACAACGCTGGTAATCACAACCGGTAAAGGTGTGCTGTGCGCTATTCCGCGGGAGTCGGTATGCGCTGCCGAATATCGGGTGAATCGCGAGATCATCCCCAGTGGAAACGTGCTGTGCTCAGATGGGTGGGAATCCGGGCGGATTGGTGAATTGGAGCATAGTAGGGCACATCTTTGATTTTTCATCAATAAAATACGGGCACATTGGTGAAAGCCAGTGCATGTGACATTGACGCGATTAGAATATCAAAAAATTCGGCGCATATGGCAGTCAGGGAACCAGATACGGGCCCGAACTCCCCGCTGTTGCTTCATCGATCATCTTTTTCATGGATGGAATATTTCCCAGCTGCGGTCCGGGTGAAAGGAAGTATTGCCGTGTTTGGTTCGTAAAATGCCAAGTCTTTATATGTCCTGAAATCGACACAAATCCTCATGTAGAAGTCCTGATTGGCTCGGACAGTGAATTTCAGTAGACGCGTATTTTCAAATTAGCTGTTGCTTGGCTCTGCTTGTTGTAACTTCTCTGAAAACAGTCCCAAAACAGTCCGGAAGCTCTGTAGTTTTGATCCCCGCTTGTTACAGCCTTGCGCGCCATGGACGCCTACTTCGCTCTCCCTTCCTCTCACCACCACCATCCTCTTCACCACCCCAAACACCGCCCGTGCGCACTTGGGTACGTGTACTACAACATTCTACTGGTTGCCGCAACATGACTCTTCCATGTCAGCCACTCCGAGTCCTGTCGACCTCTCTAACTTACATCACTGGAAATTACTTCTGATTGTCGAGTTCACGAGTAGGAAGGGATCGAGCATTCAGGTGGGTCGATTCCTGCAATCCAGTTTACCTCGCCTTTGCTCAGCAACTTCACAAAGCTTGTCCTCTATGTGGTACGTGCTTGCTACCTCTACCATCGCACATCGTGATTCATTCCATCAACATGCTCGCGATCGAGCGTATCCGGCTAATATCACTGCTCATTATTTGTAAAGATAGCCAGCATGTATATTTAGTAGCCCTTAATATATAGTATCAAGCTGCTTTGGAATTTTCGCCATGGATGGAATAAACCAGGTTGAGTCGTATTCTATTATGGCAATTAGCTATTCAAATTGAGTTCACGTACTCGTGAATGTGTGCACCGATACGAACCAATGTACCCGGATCCGAGCCAATGGGCGTCATGAATTCACACCAAAAAATCGGTGAACAGTCCAGCCATCGGTTCGCATTGGTGTGTATCGGTGCATCAAAGAAGCACCACGAGATATGCTTCGATTCACCAATCCGCCCGGATTCCCACCCATCTGAGCACAGCACGTTTCCACTGGGGATCATCAGAGTATATTGGTGCACGATGTCAGTCTTCGCATCAAGAGATACATTTTGAGACATTAGCCCGATGAAAATGGCGAGGCACTCACACCACGGGCATACTGCTATTTTTTGCTGGAGAAAAAAGAGAGAAAAGGGTGTAGGTGAAAACCTCTTTCGCTGAGTTTTCACCGTAAGAAAGGCCAAAGGAAAGATTACCATTGCACCCGAGAGAGCGCCTTTTCCGGGCGAGAAAAGGATAACAATTCCCCAGAGTCGGCCAAATTACCAAATTAGGCAGCCATAAGTAGACATTTATCCTTTTCTCACCCAGAAAAGGCGCTCTCTCGGGCCCAATGGTAATCTTTCCTTTGACTTTTCTCGCGGTGAAAACTCAGCGAAAAAGGTTTTCGCCTACATGCCTTTTCTCTCTTTTTTCTCCGGCGAGAAATGGCAGTTTGCCCGTGGTGTCAACAGGTTTACGACACCAGGGAAATAGACATACACCCGAGCTTACCGATGTTACCTAATAAAATCAGAAACTCATACATCGTGAAGCGGCGTGGCCGTGATCGCGGAAAGCGGTGGCGCATAACGATATCTGACCAACATAGACCAGACCTCGATGTCGAATCCTTCCGCTCGCACATGAGAAAAGATAATGAAAAGAATGAAACCTACAACATATATCCATTGAGAATTACGCATAAACAGAGTCAGCTGATCATCAAGAAAAAAAACGGAGAGCGCAGTAATAGAAAGTAAGAAGAAACGATGACGGAAACGCGCAAAAAAGTGAAGCTAAAGCTATATACAGACACAAGGAAGGAAAGAGAAAATGGCGACTAAAAGGGGGACGACTCTGCGGGGACGGGTTGCGTATATCCACATATCCACATCGACATGAAGGAAAGGGACGGACGAGGGAGCAGCGAGCAATGTAGAATGGGGGAGCCGACGGTGTGAGAGCGGATGTGGCTGGGGAATCGGAACATCGAATGTTCAAGTCCGCATAACACGAATCGGTACGTAGCGGGAGGGTGGACGAGTGCATCAGACAGTGAGAAAGTGGAGGAGGGTCCTCAACCCGGATGCTCATTACGAGCTTTGGCCCTTGGTCCGGAACCTGAGCAGCGGCGCAAGACCCGCAGGCGCACACGCCTTCTTCATGAACTTGTGCTATGGAACGAGACCGCACGAATCAGCACCGCCCAAAACAAAAAAGACACGTGAGGAACGCACCTGCAACAGCTCATTGCTCGTCGCCCGGCTCCTCACATCCACACACAAACACACGCTCAAGAAGCTCTTAAGCTCCTGCGACAGCGCCTCGGGCTTCTTCAGCGTCGGCGTCCCGTTCGTAGCGATCAGATAGAGCGCCTTGAGCGGCTCCTCGTCGAGGTACGGCGGCTCGTTCTCAATCATCTCGATCGCCATGATGCCGAGCGACCACACGTCCACCTTAGCGCCGTACTCTTTCTGCTTGACGACCTCGGGCGCCATCCAATAGGGCGTGCCGACCATCGTCGCGCGCTTCGATTTCTGGTCGGTAAGCTTGGCGCAGAAGCCGAAGTCGGCTGTGTGAATGATATATGTGGTTAGCATGGAATTGGGAGGCTGGCGAGAGGCTGGGGTACGTACTGATTTTGACAGACCCATTTGCATCGAGAAGAACATTATCCGACTTGATATCGCGATGGATGATCGACTGGCTATGCAAATGGCACAGACCCTTGCATGTCTATCCACGTCCGGTCAACCCCCCAGCCACAACACGAAACCGCAAAAAAAAAAAGACGCACCTCAAAACAAATACTCGAAATCTGATCCTCCTCCAGCGAATTATTCTCAATAATATCCGTAAGCGCACCACCCTCCATAAACTCCATCACGACCCAGAGATCTGAGCCCTTCACAAGATAAGCTTCCAGGAAGTTGACAATGTTCGGGTGCTGCGACTCGCGCATCACGATGATCTCGTTCACGATCAGCTCCTTGCGCGGCTGGTGCGCCAGGTCCATCTCTTTGATCGCCACCTTGCGCGACGTGGTCGAGCCGTTGACTTTGGCGACGTAGACGTGGCCAGAGGCACTGTATATGCGGGGCACACGTTAGCCACGCGTTTGAGGGATGGGAGTTGAATGCAGGGGAATGCAGAGCGTGGGGTAGCGATGAAAAATGACGAAAAAACGCACCCCTGGCCGACCTTCTTGATCTTCGTATACATCTGCTTGGGATCATCCTGCGACACCACGCTCCTCAGCTTATCCATCAACTGCGCCTCCGACATCGTACTGATCCGCTTCTCCTTCGGCTTATCCACCTTCTCCAGCTTCGCAGCCGCATCCGCTATCCCCCCTCCCTCCTTCTCGTCAGGCGGCGCGGTAACAGTCACGGGCGGCGGCGACGGCTCTTTCTTCTTCGTCGGCTGCAGCGGCTTCACGGGCGGCGGCCCCACCATCGCGCCCGCGGCACCGCCCACCGGCTGTGAAGCGGGCAGCGCCGTCGCGGGGGACGACTTGGCGGGCGTAATATGCGGCCGCGGGGGCGACGCCGCCTCCCCTTGGTCCGCCTCTGCACGGTCTTGCCTCTCGCGGTCGGTAGCGCGTTCCCGCTCCCGCTCCTTCTCCCGCGCGTATGCCCGTTCCTTGGCCTTTTCCCGCTCCCGCTCCCGCTGCTCGCGTTCGCGGTCGCGTTGCTCCCTCTCTTTCGCCGAGAATCCCGGTGCACCCGGGCCCTTGTCGAGGGACGGCCTGGGCTGTCCTTCCCCAGGCGCTTTGGTCCTCGCGCGGAGCTCGTCGCCCGAAGGCGTGCCCTCGCCCATCGTCTTCGGCGCCGACGGCGCGGGCCTCGTAGCCGTGAGCAGTGGCCGCGGCGGCGCTGGTCTGCCCGCCTGCAGCGCGCCCGTCGATGCGGATGCCTGCAGCGCCTGCGGGACGGGAGGACGCGAGCCACCGCCGAGGGTGGCCGCGTGCTGCGAGTGCGAACCATTGACGAGCTCAGCGGCGCGGGCGGCGGCGAGCGCAGTTCCCGAGAGCCCGCCGTTCTGGGTCGACGATTCGGGCGCGCTCTCCTGCCGCTTCATGGCGCCTGGACGGCCGTCGAGCGGCGAAGGCGCGGCACCGACACCGGCGCCAGAGCTCATACCGATGCCGCCGAGAACGGTGCGCTGCGATGCGGAGGGATCGAGGGTGGAGGCGGAGTAGGGCGAGAGGGTGTTGGAGCCGCCAGGGCCGCGCGAGGAGATGGGGGCGAGACCGAGTTCCTCCATCTGCTCACGCTTCTGGTGGTCCGTGTAGAATTCGAGGACATCGAGCACGGCTTGCGGGTCCTTGGCGTAGTCTTCGTGCGTGATGGCAGACTTGTTGAGTAGCTTGCTCCATTGGTCGGGCATACCCTGTTGTCGCCCGCGGTCATTAGCGGGCACACTCATTACGAAAGCATGATGTGGAGACATACGGTGAATGCGCCGGTGACGGGATCGAAGCCGACGTGGACTTTGTGTACGAAGTTGGTGGGATTGGATACTCCCATGAGGGGAGAGCGGGAGTAAATATCGTCCTGCCATCCGTAGACCTCCTCGTCGCTCCTGAGGGAGAGCCAGTAGCGCTTGTCCTTGGTTTCAAGAAGCAAACAGTACGGCTTGAGATCGACGCGCTCGATGTTGGTAATGTCTTTGAGCTGAATGATGCTCTGCGATGGTGCCGTCTAGAAACGGGAGGACGGTGTGGGTAAGCATCGGCAAAGATCGATCCCGAACAGGCATTGACAGGCTGCGAGGAAGTGACTCACCTCTGTCTTGTGTATGGCCAGAGTCTGCTCCTTGAGGATGATCCATTTGCGGGTCCAGAGCCAGCTGGCAAACCCCTCCTCCTTCAAGCTGACATGCCCGCTTCTGACGACCTGGGCGCCGTTGAATGCCTCTGACTGGCGATTGGGTGATCCACCGATGCCGGTGTAGTCGGGTGCGTAAGACGACCCAGATGAGAAGGCAGCATTGTAGCCGCTGGTGCCAAGGGCGTTTCTGAGAGGGGCCTGGGGTGCTGGCCGGGAGGGGGCGAAGGAGGATGCAGAGACAGAATTGAATGCCATGGCGATGGGTCAGGTGCCAGGAGTGTGTCTACCGGGAGTGTGCTGGCAAGTGCCGATATGCGCTCGTCGTCGCTGACGATGAGGAGGAGCGAGACGGATGGCAGAGAGGGAGAGGGATGTGTCTGCTGACGAATGGAGGAGTGAGCGAGTCTTGTTCTGCCAATTGCAACCTGTCACTTCCCCTTCCCCTTCATCCGCGCCACCCACCTCGGATCTATCCGCTCACTATCACCACGGTAACACTCGCTTCAAGGAACAAGGAACATCTCTTTTACGCGCACATCCCGCTATGTTCTTTTCATTTCGTCCCATTCACATCTTCTCTTCTCATGCACCATGTCTCCAAGGGCATAATTATGTCGGCATTGGTCCAGTCAGAACACAAGCCCGGGCCGTGGGAATCAGGCAGCCGCGACCGCCGGTTGCTACAGCCCCGGCAAAGCCTCAAAAATACGTCCTCATTGGCCGCACCGCTCTCACAAGACGTGCAGAAGCGACCACTATCGCTCCACGTATCTGCAGCGAACCTGACAACTGCTGCGCACCTCCTATCTTCTGTACTTCTTGACGTTCTCGTAGACAAGGGAAAAGGCGCTGAGGGACGTCAGAACTTGTCAGAACCACTGATATGAACGGAGCCAATCATTGGACATAGGCCACTGTCAACTTATGAATGATCGCCACAGGTACATCAGTGTGTTAGAAGGCACCGAAACAGCCAATCATGGCACGGTACCAGTGGGCCAATCGTATGTTGCGTCGCCGTCTCTCATTCATGGGGGTGACGAGGTCAGAAGACAATGTCATCGAAGGGTGGTCCACGCCAAAGGCCTCGGTAAAACCGGGGCCAGCGAACCGGATGGCAGGCTTGTAGTTCGTAGAGACACCCGTGTCAGCTACATTCGTTTATACATCCTCAAACGCATCGTAGAGATGCCCCAGGAAGAACAGCATAGTGAAAGCAAGTCGATTAGGATTAGCATGGGATAGGGAGAGGTAGGACACGTCTATAATATGTAGCACAAGACTACCGGTTCTTTGTCTGCCTAGGTAGGAAAACACGGTGAGTCAACACTGATAGATAAAAAGAGAACAACAAGGACGCACTTGTACTTGAACGGCTTCTTCGTATGCGCAAACTCCCCCAGCTTGTGCCCCACCATGTCCTGCGTCACCGTCACCGGCTGGTGCTGTTTCCCATTGTGCACGAGGAAGCGTATCCTGCAAACGTAGAGGTTAGAGGCTACCGTGAAACAGCCAAAGGAGAGGACTAGTCGACGCACCCGACAAAGTTGGGAAGAATAGTGCACGCCCGCGCGTCCGTCTTGATCTCCGTGTTGTTCTGCAGCGCGTCCCGTAGGTTAGGAAACGCGACGAAGTAAGGTCCTACAGGCCACGCGTTAGCCAGCCATATACCCAAGTTGTTAGACGTTGGATGTCTACTCACCTTTCCATGCCGACCGTCCTGACCTAAGAATCGACGTTCCGCGCATCGTTGAAGCTGAAGGGAGTTGAGCGTTTTCACGCCTTCCGAGAGCCGACGCGGAGGCAAACGTAAAGCACCCGGGGAATGACTAAGCATCTCAGCTAAATTAGGCGGAAGTGCCCCTGAGTGCACCATACAGGGTCGTTCATAGTGGTCTATACACAGGGGGAGTAGCCCAATAAGTTCTCAGAATTTATTGTGGAAGTATTGTGGATGCAGTTTAATAAAATTTTGCCAGGACAGCGAGACTTATTTTGGAACTTACCAGGGACGCATTTTGAATAAAGTTTGGCGATTTACACTTGACACGGCCAATTTGGTTATAAAAGATATTTTGATCAGAATATCTCCCCGCTAAGTACCAAATAAGTCTCGCTTTTCCTGCAAAACAAAGTTAAAATACGTCTTCAATATTTCCACCATAAGTCCCGAGAACTTATCGGGCTATTCCCGCTGTATATAGACCTTCGATTCTACAATCAAACCGTGCAAAGATACCAAAGGTTACTCTATTTACACAACAAACACTCCCATGTTGACAGTACGAGCTAATCCGCACGCCTCCTTATCATGACCTTTGCACGCTGGTTTGCCACTCTGTTGTGCCCAAATTCAAGGTTGGCGGGACGGTTGCCTTGCGCATCATCCGTGAGCTTGATGTCATAGCTCAGCAAAACATGCGCCAGCATCGCTTTAAGTTCGTTCACCACAAAGAAACGTCCCGGACTGCGGGTATAGTTTGACGATGAGAGTGATAGAGTGTAGTAAGCATACGGACGCACCATGCATGTCTTCCGTACCCAAACACAAGCCAGTCCTCACTGGGAGTCACAGCCTTATTTCTTACTGTCCTCTGGTCTTCAGTATCCTCGTCTTCATTGTCTCCTAGCGAGTCTATGACACCGTCTTTCGTTGTTAGGAAACGCCATGGATTGAAGGTTTCTGCGTCCTCTCCGTAAATTGCGGTGTTCACATGACGCACATGCGTCGCGACGGCAGGATATGCGCCTTTGGGGATAAAGGTCCCATCCGAGAGAGTGACGTCGCGCATGGCCTTGCGCTGCATAGATACTATATATAATTCAATATGTTCAGCAAACCTGATCGGTTTCCGGACGGTCTGATACGAACAGAGGAACATTCCGTCCACGCGCATGGTCTCAGCAAGGAAGCTTTCCAGCCGAACCATCTTGCCGAGTGCGGTCTTACTCCAACCTTCGGCATTGACCACACGGGTTACCTCCTCTCTAAGTTGTGACACATAAATTGGATATGTCGCAAGGTTGAAAAGGGCTTGGGAAAGGGTCTGTCATAAGGTTATTTTATGACGAATGCACGTTTACGCGACAGCTAAGGGCCACATACGTTCGCACTGGACTGCAAGATAATACGGTGAAAACGTCAGCGGCTGCGACGCAGCGGGCATACGGGTACATACGTGAATGGCAGCAAAGTTTATAATCAATATCAAGCGTCCAAGCTCGTACGGCGTGCGTTCAGCAGCGGGCACTTCGTCCATGAGCCACGAAAGAAGGTCATTCTATGATGCCAATTTATACTTGTTAGCTTGTGTACAATGTACAGAAAGACGTCGCAGAGATGAAGTTGCTTACTGGCTTCTCCATCCACTCGTCCCCTAGCTCCGCTTCCAGCCGAAGACGTTCAGTTATCATGGGCCCAAGTAGTGTGTGCATATGCTCTATATTTTTATTTGCTTTCGTGAAATATTGGGCGACGATTCTAGTAAAACAGTGTCAATCAAATGAGGAATTAAATAGCCAAGATAAGCCAAACGAACGGTCTTAGAATCTTGGGGGTGACCTTGAGGACTATCGCAGCCTTGGCAACGTCAGTCGTAAACCGAATGCAGAGGTCGACATATTCAGGATTACGACCTTTGCATAGTGGATGAATACTGTTACACTGCGAAGGGGCGATGTGGAACTGTGGACGTACAATATGGAAGCCCCACAAAAATGCGATTGATGGTACGCGCGGAGACGTTCAGAGCCATACGATGTGCAGGGATGGCTTTCCATTCTTGGATACCGTCGGGTTCACATTCGTCAATATATCGTGCAGTAACTTAGCCCGACATACCATTGTTATGTAGCATGAGCGTTTCATCGAAAGCAGCTACGACCTCGTCCCGTATGTCTGGGAAGAGGCGCACCAGGTTACGAGTGAGACGGTTCTGGATGACGGGAATGTGAGGCTGTGTGTTGTGTGGGCCGTGCGCAAGCGTGTATTTGGTCTGGAACGACTAGAATAAAGGGTTATAATCGTTGCCATTGCTCAGTGTTCCGAAAAGGTCGACAGCGTACCGAATTTGCCCATTCAGCAAAGCTGAGCACATCCTCCGACGTGCGCCCCACTTCTTTCAGCAGCTCCGGGCTGGACAGGATAATCTGCCACCCAGACACAGTTGGAATTCGAAAGGGACGCCCGCCATACTTGAGGTAGCCCTCTAGTATAGCTGGCTGCAGGCGCAAAGCGTGCTTGAGAGCATATGAGAGAGATCCCAGGTAAGAGCTCGGGCCCACGATGGGTATGGGAGAAAGCTAAGTAGATTTACGAAAATATCAGGCGACAAAGTAAGCAGAAGAGCTGGATGCTACATACAGGATCTGGGCCGCGAGGTCGCGTGAGTACATAGCTGAACGCAAGGGTCAACCCTGCAATGCCCGCCACACGGTATGGCTCTTCAGATACCCAAGAAAGAGTCTTTAGGGCGCCATCGATGGCGAGTTCGAGGCTCATAGTATAGTTGAGACGAGGAGAAGACAAGGAGTTCACAGTGGTAAAGCATGGAAGTACGCCTTCGGTACCATACATGCCCCCCGTTTTGGGCGCTTGAGCTGCACGGCCTTCGTCAGACGTACCCACGGCTAGACGCATCTTTCCGGAACCCCGACGACATCTTTCTTCGGCTCCCTTCACACGCTGTCTCAGCTGGATACCTTCCCAATTCCGCTGATCTCCTAGAGGAAGAGTCGCTGTCCCCTTCCAGTGAATCGCTCGGGGCACAATTACAATGACGCATCACTGGTTGACTCGTAGCTCTTCACTAAAACTCTTCCTAAATCTATATGCAAAATAATAATAATCAGAGAACTGTCCCCATGCTGTAGACGGTCATGAGCACGTACTATTTATAGTTGCCTGCTCCTTCGTACATCCTCGGCCTTCTCAAGGACTGACACGGGTCTCTTCGAATACCTCATGGCTATACGTACATAGCAACAGAAGTCCAAAGACAAACTGTCGCAATATAAAGAGAACTTCAATCCGTCGCTTCTTTCCTAGCTTATGGCACCCAGCTGTATCGCGCCACCTGTAGAATAAGACATTTTGGTCATGAGTTTTACTACATACTTTCCAAGTGCCCCCCCGGGGAGGGTGTGGGCGTGTTATTCGCGACTGCATGGCACATGAGCAACCCCGCATCGACGGTGATGAAACTTCAGAGCAAAAACCTGTAGCTATTGATTATCAACGTCCGTCAAACAAGTACCTACATATCTCCAGCCTATTCAGCTACTCTAGAACAGCTTCTGCTTCCGCTATTTCGCACCCTTAGTCAGGGTGTCCAAACATCACTATTCGGTAAACTGAAAATACGCCGACGCAGTTCGGAATTCAAAATCCTGCCCAAGGTAGCATTGATACTGATTTGACTATCTCATCGCTGCGGCGAGGCTGCAAGCGCAACGTTGAAATAGCACACTATCATCACCACCAAATATACGATGTGAGACAGTCTGATTCCGTTTGAAGTAGGAAAGCAAGGAAATAACATCAACATGAATTCTTACATTATTGATATCTCTTTTTTCTTGTGCTGCTAGCCGTTACCGACTCAAAGGAAAGCCAGCAAGTCATAGGGTACTTCGTTGCAGATTTAGGAATAATGCTGTCACTTCCATATTAGCTTACTATGGCCAGTAATTTGATCCATTCTCACGCCCATCACATGGGGTAGTCCTCTGACAGATGTATGAGATACTTACTGTCCAAAATTGATGTCTTGAGAGGTTTTACCGGCACAGGTAGCCCATTTCACGAAAGAACATCATTGAGGGCTACTTTATGCCAGGGATTTCTACTTTAAATTATCTTCACGCTGAATGAAAACCGCGAAAAAAAAGACTTATAGCAGTAGCAAGCTGACCCAACGTTGGTAGTAGCTTACGCCAGCGATTTCACGAAGTGGATACCTTACAAGGAAACACTGATGCCATACTCAGAGGGGTTGGTATGTACGACGAGTATTCTTAGTACGCAAGTCCCACCAAATCCCGAGGCTCCATGTGCTATATGAAGATATCTGATGAGGGACAAAAACATGTGCTTGCGACACAATTGGCACAGCCTGGATGTGCTTGAAATGTCCTACGCCCAGAAGGGTGCTAGTGAGTCTTAAAAGCGCGTTGCGAACGCCACCTTCCTTTGCAGTCTCCGTTATCTACCCTTGCCTTCCGTCTATCACTGATCTGTTACCCTATGTTTCTCTATGTCAACGAAAGTAGCTATGCCTCAACTTCCGAGGGCGACGCCGCGATTGTGGGCTTTTTCCAAGACTTCAGAGCACTTCAGTATTCAGTCAGTGCGTTGCCACTCCTCGCAGCTATCGTGAAATTGGACGCCTCATTGACTCCGCGTATATAGTTGCTTTGCTGACACTTTACCTCTGGCACTTTGGTGAGTGTCGGTCGCAGTGTCATAGCCGCTTCTGCTGACTTTTTGTGGCGGACGCTTTCTTCCAGTACTGACACTCCCACAAGAGGTGAGCTCATGAAGCGGATGCTGTCAGCTGTGGGCTTACGTCGATTTCTTGAACAGGTAGAAATATGGGTACTGTCCTTTCTGCGTTTTAGACGTCCATACAACGCTGATACTACGTATAGAGAACACCGATGAAACTGCCGAAAGCTTTCTTTCTTTTCGTGCATACTTTGTCCCTGTCAATCATATTTCGGGAATTAGTTGATACGAGAAAGAAAAACAAAGAATCGGTACTTTGCCATACCCGGCGGTGCATGGTGGCTTTACTGTAAAACCTTCGCCCTATTCCATTCAATGATATAGTTAACTGTGATTGACAGGCACTTTAAAGTACCCAGAGACACAGAATTGGTACTCCTGCTGCGGTCACGTTGACGTTACCAATGTGCTAATCGTGTTGCTTGCTACGTGTTTGCAGGTGTAGGTGTCTTTGCAATCAACCTTAATTAACAGGAAGTTTACTGATGAGATGCGACCATAGGCTTCTCAGCGCAGGTAGTGGCTCAAATAACAGGTAGGAGTTCAGCCACAAACTGCGAACCGGGAAATTTAACTGAGAAAAATGACAGAATTGATTGCGTGGATCAGTGCAGAAGGTCAGAAAGTCCTACCTTAGTTCAATCGAGATTAAAAGGTGGTCGGTCGTCCCTTAGTAATCCTCTTATATCATCTCTTCGCGGTGTTTCTGTTCAGTAAGCTATGATATCCTAGGTCTTCAGATTTACTAATGCACCGCTTCGTTCATGAGGAAAATCGGTCACCATCCCGGTTTCAATCTTATTCTTTATATGTGGTGGCATTTATGCAGGATCATTACTCGCTAACTTAGTGCTCAGCCCAAAGTCCAGTGAGTGATTGATTGTAGCCCTGCTCCCTTCGATCGTCAATGATAATGTCGCTACCATAGTTTTGCCTCCGGAACTTGGGTTGTGTTCATACAACCTGTATCGTGGATTCCCATACCTGTCCAGGTAAGATGTCAGCCGAGGTTTGCAGTTATCACTGTTCTGACGCTTCTACGCGACAGCATATCTATCATGGTCATTGACTTTGTAATTTTGATGTTATTTACCGCGAAAACGGTCCACTATCACTGGAAGGCAGTTGATAGGGCATGGAGCGGTGCGGCCTTGTTAAAAACCATTGTACAAGGGGCATCGGTGTTTTACCTGACGTAAGGCTAATGCCTCAAGAATATGCGATGTAACTAACTAAGCTTTGCAGTATCTTTCTGACAGTATTCCTTGGTTTGATGCTCACGTTGACTAAACCTGAGGTCGAGCCTGTCATAGGCGGATTCTGGTTCACTCTCGTTCCCATGGCTATCAGTTATCTTATTCTCGGCATGCGGGAGACAACTTTGAACTCCTGCTACTACGGAAGCGAGACATTGATGACTACTGTGTCCACTTACTTTGGTGTGTAATTGTGCCAAAGTGGACTAATGTAACATTACCCAAACTGCCAAATTTGTATGCTCGACAAGTTATGCTTTATGGATCGATACTACGCAGGTCTTACATTTTTTGACGTGAAATTTCGGTAATTAGGTCCCAATTAGACCCTATGCTGCTGGGTTATGTGAGCAGACTCTGAAAAGTCAGAATCATGCGCCTCTCGCCTACATGCTGAGGATGTTATCCATCAATTACTCTTCCAGCTATTCACTGGGCCTGTGACTTGGTGTGTATGTCGGTAACTTGATAAAAGGGTGCCTGCGTCGATATCGCATGAGGCCACACAACCATAATGATTCCACTGGACAGTTACATCAAGCACATGGCGTAAATATTGGCCTGGTCCTCTGTCTCAGTATTGTCCCAATGGTTCGCATCGGCTCCCCCACTTCTCTCGCTGATAACGACTTGGATTGACGTTAAATGAGAATATAATAAGATAAACGTTCTGGTGAATAAGGCTCACCTTGATGGAGCGGCCGAAGGCGTTGAAAGCGAAGCTGTGCTTGACGATGCAGGTGAAGCAAAAGACATAAAGGAGACACGAACCATTGGCGTAGGCATAAGCAAGCGTTTGAGCCAATATGGTTCATACACACTTGGAAGAATATATGCGTGAAAATGCACGTCGACAACAACCACAGCATCGGCCGAAGGCGAGACACACCTCTACAGATCGACGTACATCGTCACATTGGCTGTCCTTGGCATGTTCGATGCGTAAACTCTGTGACCGAGCTCTAGTGTTCCGAAGACGGGGAACAGGTTATGTGATCAGGTTGTGAATAATATAAACGTTTTCAAAAGATTTTCCGTGAAGAGGTGCGGACCTTTACGAACCCGACAGAAGGACACGTACGCGTGTAGGAGGGTGCAACCAAGTAACAACGCCGACATGACTGTTCCGGCCGCAGCAGGAGCAACGATCGGTGCGGGATCGAGGAGCGGGTATGGAAGTGAGTTGATTGAAGTCTCCATATGCGCGTTAAAAGCTGGAAGGAGGGTATGTGACGGGAAGTAAGGTCGAAGTGTGAAGCCAAGCATGCGCGTGACGTAAATACGCATTCTGGATGAAATGAAGCATAAGCGAACGAGTGATACTTTCCGGTGCAGTACCAGCGAAAAGCCTCTCTATGGAAGCTGAGACTACCCTTGTTGAGCACCTTTCAATGCGGACATTGAAAGATATGAGAAGAATAGCCCTGTGGCCGCCTCGTTTGCATCTAGCTCAACTTGTTAGACTGTTGTCTTTGCCACACGATCATGGGTTACTGAATCAACAACACAGCTCACAGAGCTGGTGCGGGCGAGAGAGGGGGAAGCAGATACGATGGATAGCGCAGGATGTTCGGCAACCATCGCAACTGCACCCCGAAGCCTCGAAGGGCGAATGAGCCAAGCTGGAGTCAAACCTACAAATCCGAGCGCGCGAAATGTTATGGGCGCGCGCGTTTAGGAATATATTTCCCACGCATCCACGCCCGCCACGCCATGTGCTTTTAGCGCTTAAGCCTTCAATGCAAGTCACCGTGCATGCGAGTGTTTAGACTGACACAGAAAAGTCAACTAATCGCTGGTAGCTTTGAAATAGGAAGTCTCACACGTTCCGCAGTAAGAGAAGGTCACTACCGCATTCCCCACATTGAAGTTAGCTCCTTGTACAGGCTCATACATTTGCACGAGGATAAACACTTCGCATCATGGTGAGAGAACGTCAGCGGCCTACTGCTAATTCACAAAGCCAGAATAAACAACATTGACATTTTTAGTAGAATATTGAAGAGTCTGTCTCTGCGATGTCATGCAAGGCTTGCTGATTCCAATACGGGTTGGGTGTATGTAGTGGCCGACATTTATGGCGCTCTCTACTACGAATTTCTCCCCTTTGAGCCTAGTAATTCGCTTATAACCAGAGAACTCACTCTTGCGCATACTCGCACGGAGCTTTCGCTGGAAAGCAACAAGCACATTGTCGCTAGGTCGGGGTTAGTTTCCGGAGCCATCCCCACGGATCCGCCCATAGATAGTGCCACTCTTGCTCCCGCACTCGTCGGAAGTCTTTTCCAAGAACGGCTTCCCTCCACCGCCTTGTTTGACTGCTGTTCTATCACCGCGGCCCGAGGCCCGTACCTTACATGAGTGCATACAATGAAGGTTAGGTTTTACACAATCTTGTAGCACATAGCCATGACCTCATAGGAAATCAAATGCCCATGCCTACGTACGAACGTACAGTATTTCCCGGAGAGCTCGGGGTTTAAACAGCGAGCTGGGGAAAGCGCTAATAAGTACGTCTTTTCCTTCGTTTCCTGCTTCTCGAAGTCCACGTATCTCCCAGTAAATTCCCAAGAACGTTGCTTATCACCGAAATTGCATCGCACAGAAGGTCGGCGTCCTGATCGTTCTGATTTCGACCCTTTGTGACTGCCTGCCTGAAGATTGCAGTTGCGAGAAGGTCATGACGTATGAAAAAATGATAGGAAGCAGACTTGTGAATCCCCGCTTTTAAATTGCACAAGTCGGATTCTGGGTATACAGAAGGTGCTCCAAGCCCTGGGTGCGCGAACTCGAACGAAGCGTGCGGGTGTAGGCATCGTAGGGAGCAGGAAAGAGAGTGAGTGTACGGCCCAAGTCCTCGGTTGGCATACATTCGATTGGTCGATAAATCTGGTCGTCGTGCTCTATCCTGGGCCTGCGGCGACTCAGAATCACTAGGTCCACAGTGCCGCCACGGACATGTTAGGCTATTCTTAGCCAGGAGCTAAAATTGACGTTATCTGTCCTATTTCTAGCAGCGCATATATCTTTCGAGAGCGATCAAATTGCGAGATGTCAATATTACAAATTTGCGAGAGGACGGGCAGCGGATTACGGGACGTACATGGACTGGATTGGATCGGACGGTACGAGATGAGTGTCCGTACAGGTATTCATGGTAAGTGTAGGGTAAAACAAGCGATGAATCAGCAGCACAGGTCCAAAAGCGTCATGCGGAGTACTTTGGAGGCGCCCCGATGCCGTCGTACGGCGGGAGCATGTCTGTGCTCGCTATAGGCTGCTGGGCAGCAGTTGGACTTTGGACGCCTAAACGACGGCCTCCTGCGTCGAGGTCGGCTGCATGCAGGACGGGTTCGGGTAGTGTATCTCGAGAAAGGGTTGTTCGCGGTGGTGATGGTATCGGTCGTGTTATGACCATAGGGCAGTCTGGTGCGACAATGGGTGTCAAACCCTCGATGTTCGGGACGCGGTTCTCGGCGTCTGCCAATTGACGCTGTCGTTGTCGAATGAGAATAGTTCTGCGGATGAGTGAGGGACGTGAGCTGCTATCGTTGCAAAGAGCCGATATGCACAGGCATGCTGACTATCGTACCGAAGGGCCAAGAAGGCAATGATGCATACTAGTATAACGATGATGCCTGCAGCGTATATGGTAGGCTATTGGCAAAGTCTGTTAGATACGGATACGCGGCACGATGAGCAGGGAAGATGACCTACCCCGTTACTCATGTCCGATTCGATGAGGATAGAGAGTAAGGACGGGTATCGTCTAAGGGAGGATGATATAGAGTGGAAGGAGGGACAAGGACATGGTGCGCAGCTGCCTGTTCGCGGGGGTGGCAGTCGGGGATCGATGATGACACTAGCCTGAGAGCAACAACCAATGCAAAAATATGTGTGGCAGACTATAAATAGTCTACACCTAATTATAGACCACAGCTTTTACCCTTCGGCGCCGTCGGCATCTGCACCTTCTGCACCCACATGACTCCCGGCCAGTCGGATGATGGCTCTTTTAGACAGACGCGATCGTTTCAGCACGCCCTGACATAAATTTGGCAGCGACCACGCGTATATTTGTAGTGAGTTGACAGGCCAGAGATATACGGGGAACCCGGGGAGTGCTAATTGTGACGCCACAGCTGTTCGACTACATGCAACCGTCGCACGCAGGCCTGGCCCTGCCAATGCGTCTTTTCAACGTGGTCAAGTATGTAAGAGATTAGCAGTACTTCTCAAAGAACCGGGGAGGTGATGCGTTCATGAACGGGACCAGTCAACTATTGCAGGCAGATAATCAATCAGTGGGGATTGCCCTGAAACCTAGAGCCTTGCTAACTCCTTGTGAAGCTAGTTCTAAGAAAGTGACGAGGAAATGAATTGAATCAGCAGGTATACATGGTTACAAGTGACGCCTGTCAGCCTCGGTCCAGGTATAACGTTCTGCGTCGACCACCAGTCCCAGGCGCATACCCCACAATCCCAAGAGTTCACGCGACGGGATACCCAGGCGTCGGTTCCTTGACGCCCAACAGTTCCGCCTGGATCTGCAGCGCGAGAAAACGGCAATAGTATCGCGCGTGCCCGAACCCACCAGGAAAAATCCACAAGCCCTGTTGGCCCGTCGGTCTCCATGCCCTGCGCAGCTCTCCTGCACCGTCAAGCCCCCATACAGCGCCGATCTTGGCAGAAATCTCGGGGCCCATCAGTGCTTCGATGTTCGACATGATCGGCTGGTTGCCGGTGCTGCAACGCGGAGGGAGCGTTCAACACGGCGACAAATCGAATATGTAAGCCAATGGAAGGGAACACATACCAGAGCACGACGACGTCTGCATCTAGCTTGGACCCGTCGTTGAACACGATGGCATTCTCCTCAAAGTGCGAGGGTTCGACGCCCTGTTTAACGCTGACATGTCCATCAACAATAAGATTGCCGATACCGGTGTCAAGTACTAGCGCGTGGTTAGTCCCCTTAGTACGTATAAGAATAAAAGCAAAGGTACAAGAACTCACACGTGCTCCCAGCAAACTTCTCATATATGAAGAGGAGGGTACCCGCCTCGACGCCCTTGTGTTTCCACGTCAGCTCGAATCCCTTGTCCCGCAGACCCTGATGCAGCTCCGCGTCCGCCTTCTTGACTTCGCCGATGCGCGCCGCGCTCAATTTGACGGCGAGACGTGGCGGAAGCGAGTTCGCGAACAGGTCTGCGTCAACGAGGTCGCATCCCTCAGGGTAGTTTCCCGTTATCTGTGCAGTAGACGTCTTGAGTGAGGTGAGACACGTTGCGGAGCGCTGCACGAGCGTCGTAGACGCTGCACCATTGGAGACGAAGTCTTGACACATGTCGGCACAGGCGTTGCCCTATGGTTCAGCTCAATTAGCCTGTAGACCTCGGGGCAGATTATTGAAGGAAGACGTACAGCGCCAATGACTACAGCCTTCTTTCCTCTGTACTTCTTTGCGCCCAGGTGGAAGTCGGAATGATATACTTCACCCTTGAACTTCTCCTGGCCGGGGAGCCGGATGATATGCGGCTTGCCACTACCCATGGCCAGGATGAGGTGCTTCGGGTTCAACGTGACATTATTACCCGCGCGATTGACCACCACGGTCCAGCGCTTCATCTCGGGGTCAAAGACAGGGACAGTGTTGGACTGTATGATTGAAGACGTCCAGATGGTGATCTCCTGCTGAATTGCGTAGGACTCCATAAAATCGGCGAGCTTCGTGCGGCCGATATACTCGGGAAAGTTCTTGGGGTAGGACTGGTAAAGGACTGGGTGTATGCGCATACAGTCAGCTGCTCGGGACGTCGATGAAGAGAAGGATGGGCATACACGAGCTGGGATGCGCAGGGATATGCAACGAGAGCGTCGGGTAGCGGTTTCGCCACACGTCACCGACGCGAGGCGTCTTTTCAATGATCAGCGCATGGATTCCCATGCGTCGGAAGCGCGCAGCGGCCATCAAGCCGCACTGGCCGCCGCCGACTGCAAGTAAACGGCTGAGAATCGTCTACTAGCTATCGTAAACACTGCGAGACGCACCAATGAGGACCGTAAGATCGTCTTCGATCGCCTGAACCTCAGCCGCCCTGTCCTCTTCCCACGTCGTCATCCTCGTCGCGTCCAGCGGAATACCCCTCGGCCGCTCCGTCGGTTCCTCGTGCCCAACCAGCTCGTGCATCGCCGTATACACAGCGAGCGCCTTGTATCCTTCTTGTGAGGGCACAAGGCGGAAAAAGCCCCGACCCCGTGCCGCAGGGTCGCGCAGCGTGAAACGGAACGCGCCTTGGATGCCCAATGCACCTTCAGCGCCTGGGATGGGGAACGCAGAGGGTTTGAGGGTGCTGGAGGTGTCGAGTGTGAGATCGTGCAGGCCGACGGCTGCGAGACGTGTAGATCCTGCGAGGGTTTCAATGAGGTAGGAGGCGATGCCGGTGCGGGACTCGATAGAACGGAAGTCCCATGAGAAGCAGAGGATGTCTGTTGTGATGAGTGAGCATTGTGTTAGTATTGGGGATACCAAAAACCACGAGGATGCAAAGAGGTGAGTGGAGAAGGAGACGCACCGCGTAGCCAGCCGTCAGGGAGGAAGCACTGTGTGAACTGCTCGACATCTCCAGCAGATGCAGCTTTGTCAAGACCAGCGAGCCATTCGGTGGCGATCTGGTTGGCGTCGACGCCCTTGGTGATCATGTTGGAATGAACGTGTCGAGCGAAGGCTATATCTGACGCAGATGTGGTCGCGAGCTTTGGAAAAGAGTGCAGGCCAGGGCTGAGAGCGCAGCTGGATGGAGGATGTACGCTCCCCACCCGCCGCTTTTTAAGCCGGAGACCATGAGAGCCGGCAACCCAGAGAGAAATGATCGGCCACTAAGCCATAGTCATTGATATTTGTCTGCTGAAGCGTTTGCACCTCACTTGATGATCAGCAGGAACGGGTTGCATCGCCGCCAGCTACAAGGTGCACGTCGACGGGGAAGGTCGAGTGACAGATGCGCCTCGACGGAAAAAGCCGGATGACAGGTGCGCTGCAAGCAAGGAAAGCTTAAAGCCGCTTAGTCTTCGGCGCCAAAAGTAGCCCGTCCGGCTGCTAAAGCTCCGAGCCTCCGACATAATAAGGAGGGCTGGTTTGCGAAACTACAACAACCTGTAAAGAAATTGACATCATCACCCAAAATCCCTGCTTGTATTCTACCATGTCCTTTGAATGAAGCGCGCCTAGTGCAACCCACTCGATGGCAGTCAAGGTGGCAAACAGATGACCCACCTGCTTCTCAAGTAGGTTGCCGGCGAGACCATCCATATTCATTGTTGGGCACACCAGTTCCTGGAAGTTGACGCACAACTTTATAGCTTATGTTAAACTGGCATTGAATGAAAATGACAAGCATATGAATCATTTCAGCTGGTATACATGGATGTAACATTCAATTGACGCTGGGTCCAATTTGCTGCAGGTTTAACCAATCCGCTGTTATAAATTCAAGCGACAGGATATCCAGGCGTCGGCTCCTTGATGCCCAACAGCTCCGCCTGGATCTGAAGCGCAAGATGCCTACTGTGGTACCGCGCGAGGTTGAGCCCACCAGCAAAAATCCACAGGCCCTGCTGGCCAGTCGGTCTCCACACCCTGCGCAGCTCCCCAGCGCCATCAAGCCCCCACACGGCGCCAATCTTCGCTGCAACCTCGGGACCCATCAGCGCTTTGATGTTGGACGTCATCGGCCGGTTGCCGGTGCTGCGAGAATACGGTCAGTAACAAGAAAGTGTTGGGTTTAACGTGAGGGATACGTACCAAAGCACGACAACATCCGCCTCAAGCTTCGAGCCGTCGTTAAACACGACCGCGTCCTCCTCGAAGTGGGTAGGCTCAACGCCCTGCTTGATACTGACGTGGCCGCCGACGATGAGGTCGCCAATACCGGTGTCGAGCACTATCACATCGCACCCCGGGTCAGCCACCCATCGAGCGACATAGAGGGATGGGAAGCACAGATTGGCTACTCACTGGAGCTACCGGCAAACTTCTCATAATAGAACACCACCATACCCCCCTCGACGCCCTTATACGTCCAGGTAAGATTGAATCCCTTGTCTCGCAGCCCCTGCTGGAGCTCCGCGTCCGATTTCTTGATCTCTTCAAGGTTTTCCCCGTTCATCTGGATGACGAGGCGCGGAGGGAGCGAGTCTCCAACCAGATCCGCGTCCTCAATATCGCGCGTCTCGGGGTAGTTGACCTTGACGTGCGAGGTGGACGTCTTGAGTGAGATATGGCACGTCGCTGAGCGCTGCACAAGCGTTGCGGATGCTGCACCGTTGGAGACAAAGTCTTGGCACATATCAGAGGAGGCGTTGGCCTGTGTGTCCGATTAGTGTCGGGGTCTTGAGAGAGAAGGAAGAAAGGGGACGTACAGCGCCAATAACAACAGCCTTCTTTCCCTTAAACTCCTTTGCGCCTGGGTGGAAGTCCGAGTGATAGACCTTGCCCTTGAACTTTTCTTGCCCCGGAAACTTGGGGATACGAGGCATACCACTGCCCATAGCCAGGACGAGATGTTTCGGCTTCAGCGTGACATTTTCACCCGCGTGGTTGACCACCACCGTCCAGCTCTTTGTCTCGGAATCAAAGGTCGGGGGCGGGTTGGACTGCACAGTCGACGACGTCCAGATGGTGAGCTCCTGTTGGGTTGCGTAGGATTCCATAAAGTTGGCGAGCTGCGTGCGGCCGATGTACTCGGGGTAGTTCTTGGGATACGGCTGGTACGGGACTAGATATATGCGTGTTCAGTCAGCTCAGTTTGGGCGTATTAAGAAGAATGGACGTACAGGAGCTAAAGTGTGCAGGGAGATGCAGTGAGAGCGTTGGGTACCGGTTGCGCCATACGTCGCCGACGCGGGGTGTCTTCTCAATGACTAAGGCACGGATTCCCTTGCGCCGGAAGCGCGCAGCGGCCATTAAGCCGCACTGGCCTCCGCCAACTAAACCATGAGATTAGATGCAGCTCGACGATAGGCATGTCTAGTCCGCAATGCGAAACTCACCGATAAGCACAGTGGAATCACTCTCAATCGCCTTGACCTCCTTCTCTCTGGCATCCTCCCACGACGTCATCTTCATCGCATCCAGAGGAATACCTCGAGGGCGCTCTGTCGGCTCCTCGTGACCGACGAGCTCATGCATCGATGTGTAGACGGCGAGCGCCTTGTATCCCTCCTGTGACGACACGAGGCGGAAGAAACCCCTGCCACGCGCGTCCGGCTCGCGCAAAGAGAAGCGGAATGCTCCCTGAATCCCTAAAGCGCCGTCTCCGCCGGGGATGGGGAACGTAGAGGGCCCTCCGAGGGTGCTGGATGTGTCGAGCGTGAGGTCATGAAGTCCGACGGTGGCAAAACGGGTGGAGCCTGCGAGAGGCTCGGCGAGATAGGACGCGATGGAGGCGCGGGACTCGAGCGAGCAAAAGTCCCAGGAAAAGCAAAGGACGTCTGTTTGGGTAAGCTTGGTGTTAGCGCAATCTCGCGAAAAGGCGCGTAAGAGCGGAGGCGCACCTCGAAGCCAGCCGTTTACGAGGAAATGCTGTGTGAATTTCTCGATGTCTCCAACTGATGCGGCCTTGTCGAGGCCGGCGAGCCATTCGGTGGCGATTTGAGTGGTGTCAATATCTTTGGCGATCATGTTGGGGTTACTGAGTTGAGCCAGAACTGATACGTATGTATCTGCGAGTTCTTGAGACGAGTACAGAAAAGTGTTGAAGTCACAAGATGCAGAATGGACGCCCCTCGCCTGCCCACTTTTATGCTCGAGCCCATCCAAGCCAACCACCCAGTGGTGAACGTTTGAACAATCGATCACGAAGCCATAGTCATGAGTATTTGTCTTTAAGTGCGCCTTCAACGGGCGAGATTGTCAGCAGACACCGAACGCGATGTGAAGTGGGAGTCGAAGCTACGAGGTGCACGTCGACGGGGCAAAGACGATAGCCAGGTGCGCGTCGCCGGGGCAAGTGAGGGAAGCTGCTTAGTGAAAGAGCCACACCAACACGTAAATCAGCTGACATTATACATCGTGGCTTATGCAAGCGCTGTTCTCACGCTTGCTCGGCAGGCGAGCGGAGCCAAGTTTTGTCACGTCTTTCGAATAAGCGCGTTTGTGGCACTAGTACTTGGTGCCATTCGTTTGGTGGCAAGTATATTACCATCCTTAACAACCTATTTTTTTTCTGAAGTGGAAGTGTGTATAGGTGACGTGCGTAATTCATCATGGCCCTAGACACGGCCTAGCGACAGCATGACGCCATGCAACCACGCTTCTGGTGAGCTGGGAAGAAGCACCTCTTGGTTCAAGGAAAGACCACAAAGACAACCACGCTGAGCGAACGCGGAGCAATCTCGCGGGGATCAAGCCTGTGTGAATTTCACTTCTCTCAGCGAACGGGATACATGGCGGAGATACAGAGATTTACGTGTGATCATCCCGCATGAGCTGATTCAATGCCGTTTCAGATCGTAGTACTGCATCTTGTGTTCCGCAAAACAGTCAGACGGGTGACCGATAGACCACCTAGATCACAAAGCATGCTCTTATCCAGAAGCTTGGGGTCATGTAAAGTCAGCAGCCTCCGGAGGGACGAACGTTGCTGCGGATGCGAAGTTGTTATAGAAGATAATATTTTATCCCGCCCCGGAACCCCGTGAAATGCAAGCACCGAGATAGTACACGTGCCAGGAAAGGTAAGCGGTAGATCATGAAGCAGGCTCTTCCCCAGATCCGAAGTAACGTGCTGGCTCAACAGCTTCTGGAGCAGCAGCAGCAGCAGCCACATACTCCGGTGGCCCTCCAAACTTCTCGTATGCGGGTAGCTCCTCGCCCCCTTGTGCAACCCGCCCAAGGTCCCCTGCCTCCAAATCCACATCATTCTCTGGAACACCGGCACGGCGTCCGCCCTCGTCGATGTCGCCGGCGCGCACGCCCCGATCGCGGTCATGGCTGGGTTCCCGTTCTGACACGAACGATGATCGGGGCTGGAACTCGTTCTCGCGTGCTGTTCTTCGCGTGCGGAACCAGAGGTTGAGTACCCTTCGAAGGTATTGAATTGAAAATGAGAACGAGGTTACCAATCGGATAGGAGGGCGATTTCGTACCATAGGACGAGCCCTGCGAACATCCCCGCGAGGAAAAACGCGATTCCCAGTGTCATTGCCTATAGTAACATGAGATCAGGTCAAAAGGGGCCCCGTTGCGATTGTATGACTGTGTATCGACGTCGAGTACGCGAGCGCCGAAGGGCACTTACAGTGGTAGACATGTTGAGCGGGACAGTGAGACGCGGTCCTTGTGGTACTGCGGAGAGTGACAAGAAGACGTGGGGTGCAGGGCTCGGGCGGGATCGAAAGTACGATGTTTTGGAGTCGGAGGTGGAAGCCCTAGCATATCTCTCAGGCCGAGATTATAAACAGCGTTGGGCCTTCTCATCCGTTTTGTCCAATATCCAAACCCGAGAAAGCATCAATCCGAGGGTCTAATGTGGGATTGTGGACAGGAGCAGAGGTGGGACAGTAGTGCCTTTGATGACGTTGAAGAAATTTTAAGCCACAAGAATGAGTGTCAGGGGCGCAAGACATGAAGTCATGTATGAGGTCCTGTAGACTGAGATTATCGTGGCTTCGCGGAGTGAGAGATGACGATGAAGGCTAATTCTGGCTTGAGAACTTGCTCGCGGTGTTTGAAGCTGATCATGAGAGTAAGCCGAAATTTCGCCTACCCAGAGCTTATCATCTCGGGAGATGGATTAAGAGAAGGGAACAAGGGACTGATCGTGTGTGCTGCAATTGGGTCGATGACCTTGAACGCTTGAACGTGAGCGTCGTGAGTAAAGGAGCGATATGTCTACTTGTTGCCACACAAACCAAACAAGAGCAAAGGGGTTTTGTGGCGGTGCCGATAATTCCAGCTGTCGGCCCGCGTCCGAGTTGCGCCCGAGTTGAGGGTTGTCCGCGATCTCCAGCTGAGGAGATGCGATGACCTGGTCGGCCTCGCCGTCACCGTCAGACACGATGCTGAGCACCATGTCCATGTCTTCTAACCCCAGCTCCCGCTTCTTCCCGAAGCCACAACAGTCACATTCTTCACAGTCACATCTATCTCAACAGCCGACCGCCACGACCTCGCCGACGGTGGGTCCAGGCAGTACCGCCGGCCCCAGTACAAGCGCCGGCGCGAGTCCCATCGCTGCAGCGCCCCCTGGGTTGCCAGTGGATGGCGAGAAACTTCGAACGTCCGTGCGGCACCTTCTTTCTCGCGCGCACGCCCTGCCGTGCTCGACGACCGCGCAGGCCTTCTGTTCGCTCGTACACGAGGGCGCACGCTTCCAGCTCGCGCTCGACACGCTGCTGCCGCTGCTGAACGATGAGTCCGCCGAGGTGCGTATGCTTCCCCGGTGATTTCTCCGTGTGTGATCATGACATCAAGCGAACGTGCTTCTTTCTTTCCGATTCCCTTTGCATCCATTCATGTATGCGTGCCTCCCGTCATCTGAACCATGTCCGGGGTATGCTTCCGGGGATGCGTGTACATGCAGATCGCGCAGCGAATCCTGGTCGCGTACACCATACACTCAATATATGCCCCGCATCCGATCGCAATCAATCCATTCAGGTCCGTGCTGTACACAGCATTCGTGGCAGAGCGGAAACGCGCTGTACAAGCGCCTGTAGGAGACGGAGAGATAGCGAAGAACGAGCAGTTCGTTTGGGTGTTATGGAAGATCCTTAAAGGCGATGGAAACGATGTATGTTTTCCCTTCATTGTGCAAACGGCCGCCACTCATCATGCATCATGGACCGTAACTCCTTCCCATGCGACGTTAGCTTGGCCCCTATTCCCCGATCACCCTCGCCAGATCGCCCCTACCTTATGAGCTTCGTGCAGCCAACCTCGTTCTCGAGGAGGATGCATTCACGGAATCAGGATCCAGCACCTCTTTGCAAGACAGTAACGGTCGGGTATCCCCTTCGGTCAATGGGTCGGCGATGATAAGCCCCTCGCAAGACGAGGCAGCTGAGGAGTTCGCTCGTGGCGCGCGTCTACTTCTCGATGCGCGCTCGCGCACACTCACTCTCTCAGAGCGCAACGTACGTCCCCAACTTCCACCCCTCCCTTACCATGTGATTCCCATCCCATTCCCATCATCGATTGCTCGAATGTCAATATGCTAACAGATCACATCAGCTCGTCCTCGCCCTCCTCCCAGACCTCTCCCACCCTTCCGCAAAGGTCCTCGACCTCTCCGAAGTAGGCCACATCACGTCCAAAAACCCCTCCATGCGGTATCCTCTATATGCTGCCCTGCTCACGCACCACTTCGCCGACACGCGGAGTGCTGCGAGCGGCTTGGAGCGCATGGAGCAGATGGTTGCAGATCTCCGAGAGCTCCCACTCTCGCTGAATTCGTTCGACATGCTCGGAAGCATGCTCAGAGATGAGACGCCCATCAGGGACCCCGTGACACCAGATGGGAAGACGACGATCGGGGTGTTGGTGAAACGCGAGGCGCTGGGCGGGTTTTTGAGTAGCTGTATTCAGACAGTTGAGTGGGCGGAGAGGGAGGAGAGAGAGGGATTGGTGAGCGATGATCGGGTGGCGCGGTATGTCAAAGGGGTACGCGACATCTTCATCTCTTCGCCTTCAGCTGTTTCTGACCGGTTGTCATTTGCTTTAGCTATGCATGTTCTACGGCCGGCTCATCGAGACCGACATTGTCGATGCGACAGATGATGTCGCCACTGCGGAGATGAAGCATTTCGCGCTACGCTATTCGCGCTTCGAGGATGCTAATGCACTCTATCGCACACTTGCGTATGCTCAAAATCACTGAGCATTAGTTGATTTGCGGCCTGCACCCATCCCCGCGTTTTCTGTATGAATTTGTACCCGCACTCCGTATACTATGTACTAATGGCCTTCACCTTCTCGAACGTAAATCGGCAGATGTATGTCCCTATGCCATGTATCTTCTCCCTTCTTTCCCTCTTCTACGCCATCCTCCTTTCTCTGGGTCTCTCGCATATAGAATTATGACTTTAGCCTTCTGTCCTTATGTACACATTCACTTCTATACGTACGTGTTCTCATTATGTTCTCATGCACTCATCGTTCGTCGTCACTTACTCAATGCCCTTCTCACCCCCTTTTCTTGTTCTCATATGTAACTCTCACGTTGTCGCTGTCGTCGATGTTGTCGTCGCTTTGATCGCTGTTGTTGTCGTACATCGAGATAGATGTAGTAGTTTGTTTGTAGACTCCGCGGACGGTTCGTTTGGTAGAGCACAGGTATGTCTCACTGTACTAGTGGTGTTATCCCCCCGTTTATGTGGATTAGTTGTGTAAATGTGGTGCTCGGTGACTTCCCTGTTGGCTTCTTTACTATTCACCGACATCTTGCAATTGTCTGCGCGGCGGCGCAGGTCCAATTATTTTGCTGTGACGTCCAAAACACGGCCTACAGCCAACATCACGATCTTTTTCCTCATCAGCTCTTCTCCGTGTGAGGCTCCAACGACCATATGCAAGGTCCATTCTTTTATAGCATTTGATGGTGTGGCACTGGTTTATAGTCCCACCATCCAAGATTCTGCAGTCATTATGGCCACTACCAAAGCGCTGCAGGCTTCCTTACAAATTGCTCACATGTCTGTTAGCGGCTCCACAGCATGTATTCTGGCACCAACACATTCTTACTATCTACTTCTCAGTATGCTGCGCGATCTGATACAGGTTAATGATCGGGTGGTACAAATGGGGGAAGGTTCTGCGCCTACATTCAGAATTGGTGTTCTCAAGTGCTTGATCACTAGGCACTCTAAACACGAATATGAACATGGATGTACAACAGCATAGTCGATGTTGAAGGCAATGATATCTTATAATAGCTGGACTATTCAAAAGCACCTGTGTTTACAATTACTCCGGATGCCCTTCTGACTCCTTGGCATATCCTCGTTAGGTAAATAATCACTATACCTATTCTCTGAACAGTGGACCTCGTCAAAACATTAAATTATCATACGCTACGCAGGAGCAATACAGCCGTTTTGGACTCATGTTCTGAGTAGACATCACCCACGTGCTTAGCACACATATGTGTACATCTCGCCTGTATTTTCCTGAGTACGCAATTTTATACATCATTCTTGACAGGGCCACAGCCAAGGATCAATGCACTTGAGCATAAGGCGATCTTGATCGCTTTGTATCTACCATTCTCAAGGCAAGGCATGACAACAGAAATGCGTATTTTAGGAGTAATTCCCCATCGGAAACCACATCCTCTGCTGTGCAGTAACAGCACGTCACATGAACCATTATCGGGCATTCACACATAAAGCCCGCTTGTGATAGGAAACCCTCCCATCTTGCCACTTCCACTATGTCCTCTTTCGCGAACGAGAGCTCACCAGCAGCTATAACGGCAGAGTGGGAAGTCATCATTGACGCTTCAAGGACTTACAAGATCACTCAATATGTTTCTGGTGAGTTTTATAGTTTTATAGCAAACAAAACGTATTTGTGACGCCTTATATTCAGTTGCGATGGTTACACTTTACGTCCAGTACTACTGTAAGCTGATGCCAGTGTGACACATGATGTACCAGCTCAATAGTAATTTTTAGTGTCTACAGTACCAGACGAGGTAACGTAGCCAATCCTTGCAATGGATGATAAGTTTCAATTTAATTCATATGTTGTTTCTACAGGTTGGAATCTGGGTGCGCCCTTCCTAAGAACTGCATAAACCACGTACTTAATCTTGTGGTGTAGAAAAACACAGGTCGCAAGGTCCCAAAGGTGTTATTTTTGATGGTATGTATCGGTACATTGTACGTGTCAATGAGTAAGGGTATTGATCAGCGTAGCATCGGCACTTCAGTCTTATCGGCGGCTTCATATGGCTTTACTGTAAGCTTTCAAGTACCGTTGTTCAAACCAAGGAAGCCAAAACTTGAGTAAGTTATGATAACAACCACATCGACCCAACATACGTGTGTATCGCATTTATGTGTATGTTGAAATTGCTTACACGAAACTCCCACTTTATAGGTGTAGGCCATTTATTAGAAGAGTGATAGACTCGGTGAATTCAGCTCAATCCCACTTCAAATAGGTTACATTTTTCAGGTTTTCAATGTAACATCCGGTTAGTTTATGGCCTTCAGGAAGTTAGGTAGTCATGCTAATATTTTGTCATCAGAATGCGTGTCTTGGTTCATTGCAGAAGGTACTTATAGCACAGTGATTCATTATCTTCCTTAATGAGTTGTGTGGATGTACTCAGTAATTATTTTACACCATCTCTTCGCAATCTTCTCATTCAGTAAGTAAATCTTGCTGAAATTCAACGACACTACTCATATTCCCTGATTTAGACAAGATGGTTGTAATAACTATAACAAGTTTGTTTATAGTGGCATTTGTACTCTTCGTTGCGGGCGCTACGGTTGAGTTGGCTAGCATTCATGGTAAGAGATTGATGTACATATGAAGTAATCTGACTTAGGCACCCCTTCGTGGCAAGCCCTTTCTCCAATGTTTGGTGTCTGTGGATACACTCAACTCAACATTGTAGCCCCATACTTATCATGGTCAGTCGCTCATGTTTACTGGCTGCTGTGTCACTTATACTTTAAAAGTATGCCACTGATGGCTTTTGACTTGATGCTCGTGTTGTTATTTGGGGGAAAGACTGTACATTATCACCTCAATGTCATGGACACCCGCTGGAATGGTGCGACCCTCATGAAAACTCTTACGCGTGGAGCATTCATGTGCTACCTATGGTATTTCCTTCGTTTTATCCCCAATTATTTCATCTGATGACGCATGCAGGATATTTTTACCGACACTATTTGCCTTCACGCTTCTTCTGACTGATAAAGCACTTCTTGTTCTATCCTATGGGCCTTGTTATACGATTCAACCAATTGCTATCGGATATCTTGTGATAGGACTTCGCAGGAAGGTAGATTATCATGTCGATGAAAATGTGTCGAAATACTTTGGCGTCTAGGAGAACTAACAATGTACCTAATCATCCACTCTGTTTATTATCAGTGGGGATGCTTCCAAGATGCTTCTTTGTTGTGAACCATGGCCTTGCTAGGTACCTATTTCGCAAAGTCGGAGGCTATAGTAGCATTCCATAGAGAGTAGAAACTGATTTATTTTGTCATGTACGCTGAAAATGTGCTAAAATATTGCGTATATTTAATTTGATATCGAACAAAAAGTGTTTATTGTCTTTGAATATTAACAAAATCGTACTCAAGAAAAATAACTACGCAATTCGTAGTACATGTAGTATATTCACCTCAAAGTTATTGTTTCGTCCGTTTTCTCCCTAACGTACGCTAGATTTGTCTACCATAAGGCCTTGCCTCAGAGGACAATAAACGATGATTTTGAATGAAATATTCACCTCAAGCGAACTATGCAGCTGACTCACAGGGTTGGTGATGTGGCTTATACGTTCAATATTACAGAACTCAAGACCTTGATTTATACTTCAATATCTAGAGCCGATTCAGTAAATAAAGCCAATCATGCCTGCCCTGAAGAGGCCCCACAGACCTTAGTTTTCCCGCGGTAGATTCCTGACAAACCATCGAGCACCAGAAGATACGATGGCACTAGTACTAGATCATCTTATGGTATCGGTGAGCCTATGCAATTCTTAATGCCAGCTGCATGACAGCAGCGTGCTGAAATGTCATGTAGGTTCGATCTGCTGAACAGCAAATTCATGTCAGCGTTGATTAACTTCCTCTTGGGCACCGTATGGCTGACCTTGGGCACTCAGATCCAGACAGAGACACCATTCAAACCGTTCCTCGAGCGTAACTACCATGATGAGGAAGATCAACATGATGATGTGGGCCAGATCATCTTTCGCCTCGACAGCGCGGTTGAACAGCTGGACACAGCGATATCACGGCTGAGCGTCCTCAGATCAACCGCTGTACAAGCTCGGCTAGACCATTCTAGACTTGTCTCGCCCCTTTTGCGCCTACCGACAGAGATCATGAGCGAGATCTTTACCCGCTCACTCCCCGCTGTGGGCGTGTCAGAGTGGGAATACAGATACACCGTCAAACCTTGGACGATTCGCAAAAGGGCGCAGCATGCAATCAAACTCGGCCATGTGTGTAGACGCTGGCGCGATGTCGCTCTGACCACACCTTGGCTCTGGGGCACTATGACAGTGCCTTGGCCACCCAAGGCTGATCAGAGCAAAGAGCTGGAGCTGTTGGTTCGCGCTCGTCCGCTACCCACCCACATAACGCTGTTCATTGACGACTCCGATATCACCTCTTTCGCGGTTCACTGCCAACACGGTACCTTCCGCCCATACCAAGAAGCATGTCGGACTCTCGACATCATCCATGCATCTGAACGTACGATCGACGTCGCCAGTCTCGTGGCATCCTTTTCAAACTGGTCGCACCTCGAACGACTCACTTTGCCATCTATTTCAAATATGTGCGCTGCACCGGACTCTATGATCAACCTCACTCACCTCCAAATCTGTCCTTACGACGACGATGACATTGTCGCCTTGTTCGGCCTACATTGGAACCGTCTCAGGTGTCTCGTGATCTTTGATGCGTCGTGGATTCACATCGATAGGACAGTGCTTCCACACAGCTTCCCCCAGCTAGAAGTGCTCTTCATAAATGCGGACTGGATCCATATTCGGCCATACGTTAACGATACCAACCCCGTTGTATTCCCTATCCTACGGACTCTTGGCCTTTCAGCCAGAAATAACCTCGTCATGCTTGGGGATGAGCCATGCGATGATGGTGAAGCTTCTTTTTTCGAGAACGTCAGCCTGCCAAGTCTCACAACCCTCTTGGTTCCGGTCGACAGTAGCTCTCAGTTAGATGCAGTAGCGAACTTTATTGTTCGTTCCGGAGGTATCCTGCAAAAACTGGTTGTGCTGGGATACGGTATAAAGGAGGCTTTACTTAAAGAGACGGAGGAGCGAGTGCCAGGTCTGCACATCGCCGTTGACAGCGAATGGATGTACTCTCAGGATTTCAGGGACTGTAAAGAGAGGTGGTACGGAGAGGGCTTGCATGACACAGTTGCTTTGGAGTTTGAACGGGACCTTATCTAGCGTTGAGCACTGAATACAGTACGGATCTTATTTCGTCCCGTAAAGAGAACATACATACAATGACCTCGATTCATGCATACCCTATCCAACCCATTCCGCTATAGCATTCAACGTCTTTGTCTTCTCGGGTTCGAAGAACCACAAACCCACGAAGACATGTACCCCATCTGGGCATTCGTCATACACCAATCCATCCCCCAAATCGGCCTCCATCCGTTTCCTCAACGTACGCACTTGATCAATGAAAAGGTCGGCTGTGCCAACGCTGAGGAACGTCCTCGGATAACCCTTGAAGCTTGGTGAGCAGTGCTTCGACGCAGGGGATAGATAGGGGTTAACGAGCGCTTCATCGGGGTCGAGCGCGCCGAAGAACGCGTGCTTGGAATACGTATTACCGCCAACGATACTAAACGGCATAATGTCCTTCCCCTGGTTCGTATACATCGAGGAACCAGGCGTCTCGTGGGATGTGCCGAAATCAGACCAGGGAGAGAAGAGGAGGAGAGCACCGGGAGGAGCGGGTACGGAGTAGTGTTGGTGTTCGATGAGATAGCGTACGAGGCCGAGGGCAGCGTGACCGCCTGCGGAGTCACCTGCGATGACAATGTCTTCGGGAGGTATACCGACCGTCTGCGTCAGGTACGCATATCCTGCTAGCACATCGAACAGCGCGGACGGAAACGGGTTGACGGGTGGGCTACCGGGATCCGCCTTCGAGAGGCGATATTCGATGGCGAAGGCACGGCGGAACGGCTTGCACACGCGCAAGAGGTCCTTGGTGAGGTCGGAGACGGGATCTAACGGTGTTGCAGACATGCTGATGTATGCCCCACCGTGGATGCGGTAAAGGACCTTCTCCCCTGGTTGAATCGGCTGGCCTATGGGGACGTCGACGCCTGGTTTGTCAAGCCAGTATCCTGGAATGCGGGCGGGATGCGCGCTAGTGACAGAGGCCCATGTCTTGAGCTGACCATGAACGTGGTCTGGAACGGGTTCGACCCACAGTGACTTGATGCCTGGGCCTTCGAGCCTCTTGCTGAAATCGTTGCGGTTCGGGAACAGCAGCGTGCTGGAAAAAGGGTTGATGTGAGTCACGAAATGTTACAATGGGATGAAGGCGTACTTTGTGATGACCTCCAAACCATGGCTGATTGACCTTACGATCAGAGTCCGCTTGAGCGAACGCGATGGACAGGGCCGGTAGGAGGAGACGAGCGACGACAGTATCCACCATGGAAGGCGGAGGAAGAGTGTAAGCAACGCCTCGCTGAGGACGTAAAAGCCTTTCCACGGCTGGCGATGAAGAGCAGACTGCAGCATAGCGCGAGGGAAGGAACAATGAGCGACCATCCAAACGTCACTGCACATATATATGTGTCAGCAAGGCGCTCAGAGATGTGCTCGAGGAGGACTCCCACGTACTTTGATGAAAGATGGGGAGCATTCGGCCATCGGTATCCCAAGTGGGATTCTGGGTCCTTACGAGATTTTGCATTAGCACATCGATAAGAGGCTAGCGGCAATTGAAGAACACACCGTTCTGGTCCAATGTCAACTTGCGTCGTACGAAACCACATTTGACGAGCTATGCATACACCGGGACTACCTGCTTCCGTCAGCTAAGGTGAAGGCATGAGTGATCCAGGCACGGTTACTGACTGTTAAGAGCGTGTCCCATTGTTAGTGGTGCTAGCGTCATGACCCATGAAACAACACGGTATCATAACTATTGAGAGGCGCTCAGATCTTCAACTCAATGTGGGCAAATGAGTGCTTACCATGATACATTCTGCGAGGTAGCTTTGTAAGACTAGGATTGCTCGAAGCGCCGAGTATCAATGGACTGCCCTGTGATGTGTATCAACAGTACCCATTCATGGAAGGGCGTCCATCAGTAAAAGCGCCAATTTCTTGCCGGCCTTGCCAAGCTTGTGAGCTTGCCGACAAGCCGACAAGACACTGTTTGCATAAAGGTCTATAGGCTGGTTGCAAAAAAATTCTAGAACATACGCTGATGGTGTTTGTGTCTCAACACTGATTTCCGAAGTCAGAACACGGCCTGTGGATATCTTAAATAACTAAACTGAGGCGACTTGTTTGACTTGCAGGCGCTTGTCCGCGTAAGCTCCACGTTGCCGAAGATCGTCTTGTCGCAAAAATAGACTTACATTGTCGGGCTTGGCGTCTTGGGCGTATTATTACCTTGCCGTCGCTTGTGCAGGGTTGCACAAGGTTGTACAAGCCCCGACAAGATTTTTTCATAGTTACTGATGTCGGCCTCCATGCATGGTAAAGTTCCGAGGAGACCGCACCAGAAGTGGCTTGGATTGAAGACCACTCTTTCAAGTCAACATTCTGCCGCACTTGAGCCTGTGTGGTATGTTCCGGGGATGTCAGGCTGATAGCTCGTAGCGGGAGGGGAGAACGTACAAGTGGCTGCTTGCATGACTTACTGTGGCGGCGTCTCCTAACTCTTGCTTACTAAGCCGGCATCCGTTCCGTCTTGCCGTCATCGCTTCTCCGCCCGTTGTCAGCGATCTTGCTCGCAAATCCACATCATGTTTTTGTGTCCGTTGGTAATCTGATTCCTCTCCTGCGCAAGGCCCTCAAGATGACTGGAAGCTTCCGAAAACCGTGTGTGTCCTCTCGCGCATTTGACCTATGTCCCTCTACTGTACTTTTTCGACCACTCGCTCGTGGGAAACATATACCTAATCCGGTCTGTCCCACTTTTTGGCTCGCGGGTCAGGACCGACGTGGGACACATGGCTCGTCAGGGGCTAATTATCCCGAAGTTGTGGGACATCCACTGGTTGACAATGTTCCCGACTGCGCAAATTGCTGTTTCTATGCTGCACCGGAGTGCAATCGCCCTGCCTTGGTCTTGGCTGGTTGGTGGGCCCGCATTTTTCAGGACATCTGTCCTCCAATGTTCTCAAGCTCTCACCACCCTTCACGAAGGAGTTGACCAGCAAGATTTTGCACACCATGAATATATTGACGACAACACTTGGCTCCAGCCCGAAGATGCCATGGCACAAATCCTCAATCCGGACGGGAGAAGCAGGATGGGTTTGTCTCAGTTGGGTCCGGGCTTGGCTGATGACCTGGGGTCACCTCAACGCTAACTTGATAGAATTGCCGAGAGGGGAGAAACCACGCCGGGGGAAGCAATGCGAAGTTTCCACCAGAAAGTACGACGAGTTCTTGGATCACTAGATACTTTTTCACATGTCGTAGATTTTTTTATGAGTTTATTTCGAATTTTCGAGCTATTTTACCGAATGTCCCACTTTTTGGCTCATAGGGTCTCGGGGAGGTGGGACAGTCCCACCCTTTTTGGCTCGCTCGCCCGGTCCGTGGGACATGGGACGAGCGAGTGGTCGAAAAAGTACAGTATATCTCGATTTTGCGGGATCACAGGGTGGCTGAAGTTGGTTGTATACAGGAACTTGCTAAGCCCATAGCGTGTATTTGTCGTATCCGTCTACAGCAGTTTCTAAGGCAATTCCACTAATCCTCAGCACCGCCTAGACCTTCTCTAGAGATGGATATAACGGGGTTAGGTATCAGAGTTGGACCCCCCAGATGTCAGAGTACGTATTAGAACTCATCCCGCCTGAGCCCGCTTTAAGTTCCTTCATACGTGTTCATGAAGTCCTCAGTAGATCCTACATCGCACCCTAAACGAACATGGCAGTGCTACCGCTGTTGGTAGACGTCAGAACTCGTTTGTTTGGCTTGTTCGCGGCCACTTCACGTTGAACTGCTGTATTTTGAGGAAGCAACCTTGTTCTTCAAGCGCGCGAATCCTGCCACCGCTAGTGCTCGACATACCATCTACGCAAGACTTCCCCCATTATCTTCTCGTCCTTAGAGGTGATCCTAGTCCCGGAGGAAACTTGACGCCTGCTTACAACTTCGATCTCGAGGGAGGTTTGGGCACTGGCAAATGTCTCCACGCATACGAGGACAGTGGCGCGCCTCCGAAGTATATATCGTAGTGTGGTTAACACTTTGTGACTTATGCAGCATATCCGCGGATGTTCTCTATATTCTGTTGCTTCCTATCCGTGAATCTCTTCTATGTTAGGTTATGGTTTTTTATATGAGCCACGTACGGTGCGAGGTCCATTGTTACTTCAAATAAGCAGAGGATCATTTGTGTAACAGAGTTACTTATCTAATGTAAGCAACACCGACCACAGACACCATCGTATAGCATGTACTTGATCTATGTATTCAATCCGTGACTCATGGCCTGTATTCCACCTCTTTTTCCACCTTACTGATTGCCAAGAGTTTAATTAGAGCATGATCTCCGAGTGCTGGGGCTATCTCCGAGATACGTACCTGCCCGACAAATTCAACAATGGCACCAAAGAGAACGTAGAAGCTTCGCGCGTGATGATGATTGCACCGAGGGTGATTCGAAGAATGTTAACCTTCCGTAAATGGGGTCATATCCTTGTTATACTAGAGCATCTTTGAATGACGCCCCTCTCGCCCGCCCCTTGACGGATTACACTATAGAGGTAAATGATCGCTCCCTTAATCTTCAGAGTGTTTTCGGAGCAATAAGATATGTTTATGGAGGTGCGCAGCCAATGAATTGGTGGCGCCTGAAATTAAGACCTGTGCACGACTCGCACACGAGGTCAGAAGGCAGTGACTGGACCAAATACTTACACGCTGTCATCTGCTGACAGGTGCCAAGATTGCGCCACAAGGGTGAAGTGCACACCGCTCCAAGCTACTCATTCATGGAAAAGACTCCATTGAGAATATCAAACCCGAGTTCCGCACCTGCGCCGGGACACAGTACCCGAGTACTCAATCAAGCGGATCATTCAATAGAATCCAGGGAAATATGTCAAATCGATATGTGCAAGTGTTATAACGAGTACGGCTGTGAAGGGCGCCGATTCGGAGGAAAGGATGATTCGCATATTGTCAAGGAGAAACCAGATTGCGATCATTTTGGTAATGTACGAATTCCTACACTCCGCATGAGCGGCCCTCACAGACTTTCGTCGTTAAGCTTCCAAGACTTGAAGTTCAATTTCCATAATATTGGTTGTTTCACTTTCTTCCTGCATCCATGCTATGCCTTTGGAGATACGGAAGATAACGAGGAGCGCAGATATGATCTTGGTTGAACGAACAATCAGGCCACTTGAGCTTGCAAAAGCGTATATGGAGGGCTGACCTGAGTTTCACACAGGATGGCTACTGCCATAACACGGAAAGGAGAGTCCACGAAACAGAGCATTAGATAGACCGTCGCGGCCGCTGTAAACAGGGCACAGGACTCGATCATCATGGCAACGATTCCGGTATGGTTCAGTCGCGCCCCTGCGATTCGGAGGCAGAGATATAATTTGCGCCCATAGTCAGATGTATGATGACTCACCCATCATGCCTCGGAATAAGCTTTGCTCTGAACGAACTCGGGTGACCATAAGGGACGTAGCCGTCACGTTTAAAACGGCAGAGCTAGTGTAGTACCACCGCGACACGACGGTAGCCCATTTTTGTTGAGAAAGGTGCTGGGCCTCTGGCAGGGCATACATAAACATGGACAGCATGCCAAGGGCTGATGAACGGCATTTGATGAGAAGCCGCCGCATGTGTGTAAGTACGACGTACTGTAAGTCGAAGTGAAGAAGACTCCTAGCCCCGCTTTTACATATCCGGCTCGGAGCTGCCCATTGTAAAGCATGCAGCACCGCCAAACCTGAAAATCGTCTATGAGCAGAGCACGACTCAGACATGAGAATGTGCCAGCGTACCAGGAGGGCGTCGCTCATAAGAGCGCTGAGCCAAGCCGACACATCAATGAGAGCGTTGGCCATTTGTGTATAGCGCGCACTAGAAGCAATAGGAGTTCCCGAAATGTAGGCAGTGTAGCTGGCGCAGTAGTACGTGACGGAGGACACTGTGAAGCCGACGGAGCAGAGCATCCCAAGAACGAGCATGCAAGTCACGTAGACCACGTAGAACCGTAGCCATCTCCGGCTCTTGAGGTCGTCTGCCGCGCGAGCCCGTTTGACCAAGAGTGGAACGCAGGCAAAGAATAGCCATGCGACAAACCCGCAGGCTATCCCGCTCGTAAGTGGGGTATAGACCACCTTGACCCTCCAGGTTAAGTCTCCATCCGACTTTACTGCTAAAAGTCGGTGACCATCATGCTGGAGGTACATATCAGACACGAGCGGCAACGTGCGAGATCATGGGCGACGAGAAGAGGTGAGAGAACAACCGAACACGGGCGTCCCGTGGAACGTTCGAACTGAATGGCGCTGTCATGCCCATTATGTCACTTTTTTATGTCATTATGGGCGTCTATGGGTCCCGTTTCAAATCCAAATATGGTAAGGATATCCCGTACAAATTCAGGGGCTGTTACATTTCCGGGGGTGGTTCAGACTTAGCGAACATCTCGAATACATACGGAAAACAGTGAAGTCCCAGACCATTCAATGTCTGCAAGGTATTTTCCGCCCTCGGCTTGCCAGTGTATTTTCATTGAGAAGCATTTGTCTTAGAGGGGCCGCGTGCAAGCCGCGTAACTGAAGAGGGCGTTTGAAAGATACTGATTTGATAATCAGCTTCAGGGTCAGGCTTCTTTAAAAGAGTCTGCGAAGATCACTGGGGTTGCGGAGCAGATGCAACGGAAACTAAACTTTATACGTTTATGTGAAGATCACTGCTCAGCGATGGACTCGGTGCCCCTTGAGATGTGGCATCTCGCAACTTGTATTGTTCACCCGGTGTGAAACAGTGTCCGCTTCCATACATGGTACTGATGTACGTCTAACATCTTACCACCTCATCCGGATCTTCAGGCCCAAGAAGCTGGGCGTTAGATTTGAGGTGTTGCAGCCGAGCCACTTCAACCGTCAGTTTGAATTCCGTTGCGAAGCCTCTGATTGTTGGAGCGCTCAAGCTTCCGCTTTCAATTTAAGTTGACAGGGCTTCAGACCTGTGCCAGCGAAAGAGTATACCGCAAGGGCTGTTTCAGACTTAAGCTTAAGGGGCAAAGCTAGTTAGCGGTCAAGACGGTCAAGACATTGATGACGATTCGAGGGTGCAAAGGCCATAATATTCGAATTCGGAGTAGAAGTTGTCGAGAGAATGGCCAATATCTTGCTTTAAACATAACGCGTTAAGCTAGACTCATCCGACCCCGATCGTAATTGTATCCTGTGCGTTCATATGGCATCAAACATATTTACACGCAATCTTTCAGATCTGGTGAACCCGCGGCTCTGAATCGCGCTCGAACACGGCATAGTAGGTAGAAGATATAACACTGGCGACAAAAGTTTCGACGTCACTTATTGATAATACTAAGCTCACGTCTCCGTTTCTCATAGTAGCCCATGACGAGCATCCGTTTTGACATCGGATATGTACGACTGATGAGTACTTAAGTACGAACCACTCGTTCCAAATGGCTGGGAGAATATAATTAAGTGCTATATTAGGGAAGAATGACATACATCCTCCACCTTCGGACCACCAGAACATTAGATGATGTGGTCCAATAGCCTATCCAAACCTACAGAGAAGGGATATTCATAAAAGAAAGGTGGAATCGTGGCTGTTATGGTAGCGTAGTGCACAGGATTATTCACACAAAGAAATCTCCAGGTCAGGAAGCTGTGAACCCCTTCTACTGTCATTTGCCCACGTAACGCCTCTTGCGATGCGCCAGATAACAAGCAGAGGAGCCATGATCTTGACCGCACGGATAGGTCAGGTGTCACGCATCTCACCAACGCACAAAACGACGTACCTGAACCTCATCGATCGTCGCAATCACAAGAAGGCAAAAGGGGGAATCGATGAAAGAGACTATCAAGTATGTTATCGAGCACAGAGTTACTAGCGTGCATGACTCGATCATCATGGCGATTATGCCGGTGTAATTGAGGTTAGTGTATCCTTGAAGCCAGTCTTACTGATGTGTTTCGCTCCATACATATTCTCAAGAGACTCACCCATCATAGAACGCACGAATCTACGCTCTGCGCGCAGGCGAACCACCATCAGGCTGGTGGCGCCAAGGTTCAAAAACGTCGCCATGAAGAAGTACCATCGGGAAACGGCTGTCGCCCATTGTATCACATGAGTAAGCGCGGGGTTGGGCAGAGAGTACGTTATCATGCACAGTAATCCGGACACTCGGTCGTTATTGAGAACAGTGCGCATAAGCCCGCTTGAATGTACTTGGCGCTCGCCTGGCTCTGATACAGCATACAGCATCGCCATACCTAGACGTCGACGGTAAGCACTCGTTTGTCTTGAAGGGAAAGTAAAGTACCATGAGTGCGTCGGCCATGGTGGTGGCAACCCAATTTGCCACATTAATGGTTACATTGATTGAGTCCGGGTACGCAGACAGAAGGAGCGGTGGCTGACCCGCAGCAACGAAGCTAGCGAGGTAGAGCTGTGGCGGGATCGCGTAACAAACGACGAAGAGCGTCCCGAGGCAGAACATGATCGCGACGTACGCGATATAGAACCACAACCAGCTGCGGCTCTTCGCTTCCCGCGCGGTGTGCGCACGCTTGACCAACAGCGGGATGCACTCGAATGTAAGCCATGCTATGACCCCCCAACATATCCCGGTAGCGAGCGGGGTGTACACCAACGCCAATTCCGTTTCGAGCTTCTCCGAGTCATCTGTGCTCCTCCGTAGAAGATGTTGTCGGTCATGGTCACTGTGGTGATACTCGGAATGCATGTCAGAGGTGAGAGCGGGAGAGCATGGTCGGGGTGCTACAGCGAGGAAGGATGAGGCGGTCAGGACAGCGGCTCGCCCGCAAAAAACATATTCGCCTGCTTATAACATCAGTCCATCTATCCGCTGTCATGAAGTGCGGTAGGAACTCTGCACAACTTGAATAAGACTAGTTTGCGCACATAGTAAGGCGGCAGCCTTCCGTTTTCGGAGTTACGCATAGAATTAGCCCCTATCTCTCGCAGTCGGCGTTGTCCGTGACAGCAAGATGGGGCAGCACAGCTCACTTTCAGTCCATCAAGCAAGGTCAAGAGCATGATATGACGTACCTTATTGCGTGGAACATATACGGAGGTTACTGGTTCCGTTTTGCGACAAGATCGCACGATTGTGTCATCACTCAATACCACAAAACTGCGGCGAGATGTGGCGACAAGCCCACTGCCGCAACACCTGTCGTTGCAGAACCTTTCCAGTGCCATTCTTTGCGTTCTCGCCTCGCGCGTGTACCTTGAGAAGCATTTTTTGGTCAAATGGCCGTGTCCGAGTCAGCAGTAGGTTGCAACGAGCTGGAAGACTGGAGGTACACATGCCGGTTGACTTGCCACCAGACAGTTCGGCAACCGTTTATACTATAGAAAGCGGGTCTGGTTACAGATCCCAAAGCCATAGTGGATTTGAATCACTATACCGAGCTGCAGTGAGCGTGTCTTCACGGGTTAGGCCGTGAAATCGTATCTCGGGATAAAAACTTCATTTGAGCGCAGCAGCAAACGGCGCGCTGGGCACGCTGGAGCCTGGAGGATGTTATATAGGGCTGCGACTAGTGGATAATACCGTTTTGGCTAACATGTACTAATATGGTTCAGGGCTTTGACCAATTAAAGGCCTCTACCTCCGCTGCCCGGAGTGTGACCTTGTAAATCAGACGCGCGAAGAACATGATAATAGATGCACTTGAGCGACTGAAAATGTTGTTTACAGTGCGCACGGTCCGACCAGTACTGCGCTGATGGTGGCGTACCCCAGCTGACACCGGTCTGGATATCCTGAGAGGATATTTTCAAGGTCAGCTAGTAAGCCGAGGGAAAAGACGGTGTGGATTACGCTCAACGTAGTTGTTATCGAATGAGGGCAATTGGGCCGTGCATTAACTTTTAACACTCGGAATGGAGTCCTCAAGGTCCTTGACGTTGACTTCCCCACACAATGCTATCTCTTAGCACAGGTGGTACAGTTTTCCAACGAGTCTGATTATTGGGATCATCTGTTACTATCAACTGTACAATATAGTATTCCGACACACCTATTAATATTGTCAAATATAGCCTACAGCACACTAACGCACGTAAATTACTTGGCCCGCAATATTTCACTCTCCCTTGCCAAGGGTGGAATGCTATGCAACGAGGGTCCAATGTGACAGACTGTGAGACGCGTGGGACTGATGACAGCCCGCGGGTCATCTTCCTGTTCACGCAAGGTCGCAATCTAAAGATCGTAATGAGACAGTTGAAACCAGCGTCATACAGGGTATCTCTCACGCTGTCATGGTCTCTGCGGGCGCCTTCTTACCGATGTTTCAACGGATAGGCTTGGGATACGCAGCTTGTCCACCCAAGCGAATATTACCCCGAAGGTCCTGGTCCCGGAAGGTCGATCTTGCAAAACTCCGCAAAGTCGAGATCGACGACGGCGCTAAGGTCTGGTGCGCGGGTCCACGCAACACCTCGAGAGACACGGAGGATAACGAGGAACACAGAGATAATCTGTGCAACGACTTAGCTAGTGTACAAGCCCAGCAAGAACTTGAAGGAGCTAATCCTTACCTGACACTGGCCCAAGAGAGCAAATGCGACGAAGGACGCAGGGCTACGCAGGAACCATAAAACGAGTAACGTGACCGAAAAAGTTGCGTATAGTGCACACGACTCGATTAGCATTGCGCTGATGGTGGCATAACGCAGCTGGCTCCGGTCAGTCGAGCCTGCGAGAAACGGATGAAATCGAGTCTTAACAGCATAGGCAAGGCAAGAGCAACATACCCATGGTGTCCGTGAAGTACTTCTTCACGGAATATAGACGTCCGACGATCAACGCAGTGCATACTAGATTTAGCGTAGCTGAGATAGTGAACGCGCTCTGCGCAAGGACGACGGGGATTGCGTTGTTGCCTACGCTGGGAACAGAGTACATGATTGCAGCCGTTACCCCAATCACTAATGGGTGTCATTATTCATAACACGAGAAGTAAAGTCAGGTTGAGACATACGACAGTCCGAAGCAAACAACAGCCAGCATAAAGTCTTCACCCATTGACACCAGCTGCTTTCTCGGTAGATAACGCAGCATCTCCAAACCTAGGGAGCAGCGTCAGCGAGACACCCCATATTTATCAACAACCAATCACGTACCACCAGAACGTCCGCAATCCCTCCGCTCAGTGCAAATGCGCTATTCGACACAGCGAACGCAACGACATTGTAGGTAGGTGCCTTCCCCTCCCCCCGATGGCATGCGTTCGCATGCCGCGGCTGCGCAATGTCGAATTGGAGCGAGACAGTGTACGCCGTACCGAAACAGACCATGCACACGACATAGACGATATAAAACCACGCGTGCCGCCGAGAAAGGCTTGGGCCTGGCATCCCGCTGTCCGAGTCAGGGTCCGCTGCGGCAGCCGACCGCGACCTCTGCGGCCTTAGCCGCCTAACGAGAAAAAATACGCATAGGGACCCGATAACGACCATGACGACGTAGGCGACCGCATTGAGGACCGGTGCAGCGATCGCAAAGAGGACCGGCGAGAACTCTTCTGGAGTGCTCGATATCGAGAAGGGCGTCATGCATCCACGTCCGGGTGGGGGCAAGATTTAAGAAGCATGGTGGGATTCTCCGCGTTTCGAACCGGGACATGAGCATGGGAGGCGAGGAGAGCGCGATGTCGTAATATAAGCCGGAAACTGTATGGTTCGATCGAGTTTGTCCGTTCTTTTCTCAGGAGGTCGTCCACCCGTGTTACGTTCTGAGAACGTCCTGCGCACATCAACTAACACCAATCACTAACACTGCGGGGTCAGCGCTGGTGATAGAGGATGATTGAATTGCGGTGCGGTTTATGGGACCACATGTAAGAATCCAAGTCGATGTTGATGAGAGATTTGTTGTGACCTGGTTGTGACGATGCCGCCTTGTATTCAGCTACTAGTTCATCAGTGAAATCTTCTGCGAGCGCGGACTTCCCACAGGGTAGAAGAGACAATTGAACGCTTACAAGTCACATTCAGCGGGGCGGCGGCCGGCGAGTCTGCCCTAGACATGGGGATAGGCCAAGGATAGGCAACCACAACCAATCAGCATACGTGGGTTTTGATTGGCTGACACTCACGTGACCTGTGTCGGAGGGGTTGCTCGCTGCGGCAAAACCCGAGCTGTCAAACGAATAGACGCTGGGAAATGAACTTGGATATCTTTGGCCTATCTGCCAACGACCCACTCTGTGTCAGGACGCAGCGACCTACAATTCACCTCTACGCTCTCTTTCTGACATACCGGCCTCCTTTCTGACCGACAAATTTTACCGAGCTGACCAATGTCTGAGCGGAATGCGCAAAGGGCATTAGTCAAACGGCGCTGCTTGCCGGGACGCATACTTATAAGCAGGCGGGTCGAGACGATGGGTCAGCGCCAAATACCGTACACTCCAAGTTCTCTTGCACCACTGATACCGACATGAAGCGTAACTTTTTCAACTTCGTCCAGGACCAATGGTCCCAAGTTCCCCCTGTTATTCGTGCTGATCTGTCGGGTCAGACAGTCGTGGTTGTAGGTGCCAACGTAGGCATTGGGCTCGAAGCATCCATCCACTTTGCATCCATGAACCCTGAGCAGCTCATCATCGCCTGCAGAAGCGAGAGTAAAGGGAAGGAGGCTGTCAAAGGTATGCTGTATTTCTGCTTGATAAGGTCCGATGACCATGAACAAGGTTTTTGGACAGAGATAACGCGGCGAACCGGCTACTCAAACATCAAGCTGTGGCTTATCGACCTCGCCTCATTTACCTCTGTCCGTGAGTTTGCGGACAGATTCGACCGCGAGGCTGGTCCACTCGACATACTCGTGATGAATGCGGCGGTGGCAACGGGGAAGTACGAAGTGACCATGGATGGTTGGGAGACCAGGTACGCCTCTGTTCAAGTATTGTTTGTACTGCTCCATGGAGCTGACGCACATAACGGCAGCATACAAGTAAACTATCTCTCCACCACGCTCCTGCCCCTTCTCCTTCTCCCACGCATGGTCGAGGCAGGCAAGAAGCACCACAAGCCTGCACGACTCATCACCGTTGTCAGCGACTCGCACTACAGTACCCTCATCCCTCATGACGTCCAAGCGTCCCCAAATCCACTCAGCATGTTTAGCAGCCGAGAGTACTGCACATCAGAGAAGTTCAGGGGTCGCTATCCACAGTCTAAACGTGAGCATCTCCCCTACCTCGTGCATCGCACGTCACAGCCGTGCGGACTCACCACAAACGTTCTAGTCCTTAACATCCTCCACATCCGCGCACTTGTGGCCCGCCTCCGCCCGCTCTCCCTCGTCCCCGTCACACCCGTGATGCCGAACCCGGGGTTCTGCTACTCTGCGCTGCGTCGCGAGTTCGCGTCTTCGTGGATGTTCTGGTTCATGGAAAAACTCCTCGCGTGGCCCGCCGAGTACGGCGCGCGCCAGCTCGTGTTCGCCGCTCTGGGCAACCGGGGCTCCAATGTGGACGAGGAAGCGATGCGCGGGGCATACGTGAGCCGGGGTGCGACAAAGGAAGAGAGTGACTGGGTGATTGGCGAGGAGGGGAAGCGGACGCAGGAACTCGTCTGGGACGAGACGATGGAGATATTGAAGGGGATAGACCCGAGGGTGGAGAGAGTTTTGGGCGAGTATATGACTGCTTGATGTTGCGAGGTTGGTCTATGTGCTCTTCTCACTGGTTCCGTTGATGGCTGACGTATGATGAACCTTTTTCTAGAGAGCAGGATCACGATCAACTCGTTAATAGCACAAAGTTGAAAATCAGCAGCAACTCCTGTCGTACAGTGTTTGCAGTATTATGTCCAAATGACCACTGATGTCCTGGAGCTCCGCGCATTTAGAGTGGCGATGTATTCTCTCCGTCTTCGGCAATGTCCAAAAATTTGCACGTCCCAACTTTGCCGGACAGCAACTAGCACGTGAAAAAAGTAATGCCATGACAAGACAGGACAAGATGTGGCCGCGAACTGAGGTAGGTACGCGTACGTAGGCGTGATACGTATGCATGGTGAGTTAAATCGCTTTTTCGTCACCTGACCCGTCTACGCGTACGTAGACGCGTTATGTATGGTGAGTTAAATCGCTTCTTCATCACCTGATTCTGCCCAGTGACGATGCTTAAAAGTCTGAGAATTTTTGAGACGAAGGCACTGTTCTCCGAATCAGTATCACAGTCCCCAGCCTCCGTCTTACCACTCCAACTATTATGAAGTACTCGTCCTTCGACTTCATTATAGACCAGTGGTCCCATGTTCCTCCCCTCCGACGTGCCGATCTGTCTGGACAGACTGTCATCGTCGTAGGCGCCAATGTTGGCATCGGCCTCGAGGCATCCATTCACTTTGCGTCCATGAACCCCGAGCGGCTCGTCGTTGCATGTAGGAGCGAGACCAGAGGCCAAGAGGCCGTCAAAGGTACGCATGACTCTCTGCTTGAAGAAACTGGACCAAGTTGAACAAGGCATGTTTGGAACATAGAGATAACACAGAGGACTGGCTACCCAAACACCGAGCTGTGGATCATCGACCTTGCCTCGTTTGCCTCCGTCCGTGAGTTCGCAGACCGCTTTGAGCGCGAAGCGGGTCCACTTGATATACTCGTAATGAACGCGGCGTTGGCGAAGGGGAAATACGAAGTGACCGAGGATGGATGGGAAACCAGGTATGTTTCCGCCCGAAATAATGTTCTAAACTACTCCCCGAGGCTAATGCACAGCGCGCCAGCGTCCAGGTCAACTACCTCTCGACTACGCTCCTCCCCCTTCTCCTTCTTCCGCACATGGTCGAGGCAGGCAAAAAACATGGTCGCCCAGCGCGGCTCGTCACCGTCGTCAGCGACTCGCACTACGTCACCCCACTTCCTCGTGATATTCTGGCGTCCCCAACGCCCCTCAGGACGTTCAGCAGCACAGAGTACTCTACACCCGAGAAATTCCGAGACCGCTACGCTCAATCCAAACGTACGTACCTTGTTTAATGGACATGCTCTCGTTGACTCAATTGACCCAGTCCTCAACGTCCTCCACGTCTGCGCCCTCGCCACCCACCTTCGCCCGCTCTCTCTTGTCCCCGTCACACCTACGATGGTCAGCCCCGGATTCTGCCGCTCCCAGTTACTTCGCGAGCATAGGTCCTCGTGGGCCCTCTGGCTCATGGAGAGAATCCTCGCTTGGCCCGCTGAGTACGGTGCGCGTCATATCGTCTTTGGTGCCCTCGCCAATCGCGGCTCCGACAAGGAGGAGGAAAGCATGCGCGGGGCGTACGTGAGGCGGGGAGCGGTGAAAGAGGAGAGCGATTGGGTTATCAGTGAGGAAGGGAAGCGGATGCAGGATCTCGTGTGGGAAGAGACGATGAAATTTCTGAAGACTGTGGATCCGAGGGTGGACATGGTTTTGAACGAGTATATGACCACTTAGATCTTCCATGCGTCATTCTGGCGCGTTACATGCCGACATGAATTGTGTCGCGTAATTACCAATATTTACATTGCTTAAACCTAGCGCACGTATAGCACATACAAACTCTCACATGTTCGTCTGTCGGCTCATTATCTTCATCCTATTTATCTTCGTCTATTGGTCCATCATCCTCAGCTCTCGGGGCCGCTTCATCTTGGGAGCACAAAACAGACGTCGATGTGCAAGTAGGACGAGCCAATAGTATCACAGTCAACTCCCTCTTAACCCATACCCCTTCGTGGACACCCACAGGTATGGGCTAACGGGGAGCATGGGTTTGGAGAATGTACTAAAAATAGATGTATAAAATACAGAGAAAATAAAAATATTTACAAAAGTCAATAGTAACCTGATCTAGATGAGCAGCCTTGGGAGAGACACAACTATTGATCTTCGATGTTGACATTCTCTTTGATAGCTCTGCCCGAAGCTGACGCGTCGACAACCCGGAAAACATCACAATTTCGAGTGCTTGGATCGGTCATAAAACGTTGTCGAGGTACCGTGCAATCACATACTACTTCAAGCCCCTCTTGGCGCAAGTTCGGATGCTTGGCCAAATACATGGAAGAAAACACGTCAAAAGTATAGTAAACCTCGGTCATATTGGCCATTTCCCATGGTCTTTAATACACTTTGTTAAGGTTTTTCGACAACACAACCAAATTTTCCCCTAATGACTTGAAATGTATGTCTTTTGGGGATAGCTATTGCTGCTAAAAGCACCGAATGTATGGGTTTTTTGGCACTCAAGACCATGGGGTATGAGAAATCAGGGAGTTATGGGTTTCGGGACTCATTTGGGTGGGACAAAACACGATGGGTAGCAAAACCCATGGGTTAGCAGGGAGTACGGGATTGGAGGGCTATGGGTTAAGAGGGAGTTGACTGTACCCGTATCTTCAATATTTTCCCCGGCTTATGTTTGCTCCTATTAGGCAGCGGTCACTGGGTTAGGGTTAGGATGGGTTATTGTCCTTTGTCTTCAAGTTATGTAGCAGACGAAAGTTCAAAAATTGAATAGGGCCGTCCAAGGGTGGCACGGCAATGCCCGTTACCTTACCCCCTTCCCGCAGTTGAGACTGTTTCGGGGGTACGTAACACAAGCAAAGGTGCCAGCGAAAATGACAGACTGGTCAAGCGTTGAAGCGTCTACGCAACGAGCCTCGGTGAGCGGAGAACGTATGAACAAGGACATGTTCCAGAATCATATTATATAGTCACGTAAGGTCACATGATATTTTGTCGCGTAGCCAATTTCTCTGCCAAAACGCAAAAATAGTGCCCCCCTCAATCCCAGTTACCCTAGGGGTAACGGGCATACGCGTTCTAATTGTTCGTGTCCTCGCCCATCTGCATCAGCGTTAACTATGCCGTATCGGAGCACGGCATGTCTTGTGGAACCAACCTCTTCGGTCTTGCAAGTGTACAGTACTGTAGCACCGCGGCTAGTATCCTCTGCGCGAACTCTAGTCTTGGAACCCTCTCTCGGGCTGGCCTTCCCCTGTATATGGACTCCTTTTTGTATGATTTGTATTTGTCGTCATTGGGTCGAAGCTGTGTTGGCACTTGCGGGTATCACTCGATTCATTAGAGATTTACATTCTTTTTGGATTCATACTTTACTTTTGCTGATCTCCTTTCGTCCTTTCTCCATGGAACAATATATACAGCTTTTTTCTTTCATCATGGCGGGATGAAATCCAGGGCCGTTTGGGGAGGATAATGATATATAGCCACATTGTCTTTTTCGGATGGGGTACAGCAATGCTTGCTCGCCATCACCACCATCAACATCAACGGCGAACTTCCAGTGCTTTGTATCAATATTTCATCAAAAAGGAGCAGTGCCACATCCCATGATCTTATAAATAAGATGAACGACCGTCCTTATGCTGCCACCGACTATGGACCCTCAAATCCAGCAGATGCCAGAAAGGTTAGACCACTTAGTCGACATGATGTGGCTGGCCCTCCCAGAGACGATTATATATGGTGACGTGATACTGTTAGTAATATCTAATGTCTTCTTTTTTAATTCAGATTTAGGCATGTCTGGGGTTTTATTGACGGTAAATATCTGCATCGTCCAGACTCGGGGCAGAACAAGCGCCATGAAGCCGGCCTTGATCGTTGAAGCTGTGATGTTTTTAGTGGCAACTACGGTGGGTACAAGTGGAATAACAACAAACACTCTCAATACAAATTGCCTTTCTTGTTACAGCATCTTGGTGCAAACCTTTGCGGAATCTATGTTACCGGAAAATACGAAATGCTGAATACTATGCAGGTATCATTCCTACAGATACTTGAGGTTCAGCCGACTCTAGTGGACCTCATGCAACACAGGACTGCAGCCATGGCTATTAGCTCTGCCGCGTTCATAGCTCAGTTGTGGCTAGGCGATGGATTTATGGTGCGCTCGATTCTCCGTTCCAAGAATCGGAGTTACACCTTACGCCCCCAATATCAAGCTGTTCAGGCTCTGGAGGGTGTGGAACAACGATAAGCGCATCGTCATACCACTATCCCTCGGATTCCTCGTTGACATAGGTACGTGAAATGTAAAATATCTGATGTATGAAAGAACACTTAGTGTGCGTTGAAGCACTTGGCATTGTTGTCGTAGAAAGGATTGCCATGTTTTATGTCGAAACGGAGAGATACATTCTGAGCAATCAACCCAGCTGGACAAGCATTGCAATAGGTGGCCTAACATACATGCCGCTGGTCGCAGTGAGCCTTGTTGTCCACGCGATGTGTACAAGTACGTTATGTCAAAGAGTCAAATGTGACGCTAATATTAACCGCACTCCGCGCCGCAGTCATGATTGCTTCCAGAATAATCTTCCTCCAACGCCAAGTTGGAGGGTCGGTACATTGCGTCAACGGCATCAGTCTCACCAATGTAGCAATCACCCTCTTAGAGTCCGCCGCTGTGTACTCAGCGTTGATGGTAGCTCTTCTTGTCATCTTGACTGAGGTTTTCATTAAGTCTTCATCCTCTCGTTTTGATTACATGGCCACGGTTATGAATGCTGTGAGTATTTTTCCGATATTTTCACAAAATTTGATGGTCCATGAAATCTGGCTTCTAATGTGTGCATAGGCCGTGCCTTTGATCGTAAGTACTTACCAACATTTATTAAGTATTATAAGGCTTACTGCCTGCAACTAGGAAGTAATATTCTCGGCCATCATTACGCGAATGGGCTTGGGTGTATCCGTTGAAATGTACGTGAAAGCGCGCCGGAAGGAAGCAAGACAGGTCGAAGCGGCGGAGGTCACGAATCGGAGCATTACAAATGGTTCCTCGGTAGTCTTTGCTCCAGGTTTGCCAAGAGGTTCTCCGTCAGACTCAACCGAGCCCAATTTGACGGCAACTGCCTGACACGACCTGGTCAGAAAGAACATCCTCTTTGTTGCTCTTTCGCGTACTGCTTCACTGAGGTGCAGTTTTAAGATTTCGAGCGCGGGTGAGGAAGGGAAAGTCGCTGAAAAGAGCGCTGGTGCTACGATAGGATTACGACGGACATAAATATCGAAAAAGGTACCGAAACGTGGTGAACTCTTGTACTGTCACAAAAGATAGGATAAACACTGCCGAACACTATCCAGGTACACTTCGTACCGTCTGAAGTTTGTTATCTACGAACGTGTATATGAGGTAAATCCCGAAGCTTTGAGTGTCGGTGATCTTGTTGTACCATAAGTGAATTTTCTGTGATCTGTATCTCAAAACCACTAAAAGAACAAACACACGCGTACATAGCAGTTTCAAACGCATGTAAGGCCTAAAAGCATAAGGGCATGAGAAAAGAAAAGTGCTGACAACGTCGTAGCGCTTGTCAGCTGAAGGAGTAATAACGATCTTGCTGTGTAATCCCACTACCCCCCATACCAAGCAGTTGCACGAATCGTACCATGCATAAATCAAGCTGTGCGCACTCTAGCATCTTGGCTTCTATCAATTGTTCTTCAGAATGCCAAGCGGGGATGAGAACCATATTAATTATCTCAGAAACGAACAAAGGTACCGTCAAAAATCCAAAGAGCACATGCCCATTCTGTCGTGACTACTCAGTATAGAGGGGTATAGCGGCCGGCTCAGACGCACGGTCATCACGTACTATCTTACAAAAAGCAGAAGCAGAACGAATACTTGTCGTGTACCGCATCGTCGTCGACCCATTCCCAGTGTCCATGGCCTGCCTGGTCACGATTGCTCGGAGACGCCACAACTTCAACCCTATTCGCGCGCAAAGGGCTTCCAACCCGCTGTCCACCTTTCTCGTCCTCTTCGTCGTCCGACTCATCATCGTGCTTAGTCTCGGATGTTTCAGGAGCGACATACAAACGCTGAAGGCATGGATAAGAATGTCAGCTGTTGCTGCAAAACATGCCACTAGACGAGACCAACCTCTGTCATTTTTGCTGTGAACACTGTGACGGCGCGAGAGCGGAGCTGGAAGGGGAATTGACGCCTACGGCGTTCTTTAGGCTCCTTCGGGGCTGATTCCGACGACTTCTCCGTTTCGCCGTTGTCTGGCGCTGAGGGTTGCTTTCTGTCTCGAACCCGCAAACGAGCTCGGAGGCTGGACCATAGCTTTCCAGCACTGGCTTTGAGTCGGTCTACATGGGTACTTGCATTGTCGTGGGTCGTTTTCCTGGGAGAAGATAGTAATACAGAAGGATGGGTATCGAGATCAAAGTTAATCTGCGGGGAAAGCGAGCGCATGAGCCAGTCGTCTCGGGTGAAGCAGTACCAACTTACGTTACATATAGAGTCAAGCATAGCATCGTGAGCGGATCGTGACTTCTTATTAAGCGTCGCTGGCATCTGAGTCGGGAATTGTGGGCTTAAACGCGGTGAAAGCGAAGCGTAATGTATACTTACGTTGAGGAACGACTCCAGAGAGTCGACACTAAGCGAGGGCGGGATGGCAGTCCGAAATCGTGCGCGTCGGAGACGCGAGATCTGACCTGTACGCAAGACATCCGCGGGACCGGTCAAAATCTTGTTGCCCGTGAATGTCCGCCTGTGTCTGGTGGCCGCCTTGTTAACTGTGAATGTTTGCTCGGGTCGTGGAGTGTCCATGGAATGCAGAGATCCAGGCAGATTGTGACGCCTTGCCCAGCGTCTAACTTCACTTTCCATTTCCCCCGAACCTCTCATACTTGACGTCAGATTGGGCGTCGCGGTCTGGGGGACGTCGGCGGCGTTGACCTCGACCCATACGGATGAGGTGACAGTAACGGGCATTCTTCGCCTGTTACGGCGCTCGGAGAAGCTAGGGAAAGTTTGATCGATCGGAGAAGCATCCTCCGACACAAGCGTCGCGTCGTCGTCCGCTGGAGACGCAGGAAAGTCAGGGGTATCCTCGATCCGCGAACCGAGTGCGTCTTCGCTCATACGTCCCGGGACGTTATTCGTGATGACCTAGAAGTAGGTGTTTGAGCATACAGGAAGGTTGATTTGGCTATGAAATTGTCGTACTCGTAGTCGTGGCCTGATCCCTACGTTATGCTCACCCTGGTGCCCGCCCAGCGCGATGTTAGGAGGTTGAGTGCCGCGAGCATGCTCGGGCATGCTGAGGGCCTCGGTGATATCGCAAAGAGTAAGATAGGGGAAGAAGATGGCTCATTGCTCCATGACTGCTCGGCTTTATAAATGTTACTGCGAGGCGTTGTCAAGGTGAGTTGCTGTATGGCCTACTAATAGTAAGGCCCCACACGTGTGAAGACAGAAGTCCACTTTTACCCTAGCTGCATGTTTAGAGCGGAGAAGGACTAGCCACGCAACCCAGCTTGGCTCAAACCAGCGCGATTTGGAGTGCGAGAGCAACGGACGGATGCGTTGTCGTGCATTGTCACGGTGCAGGATAGTGTTCGGGAGTTAGAAAGGTCCCGCCATGCTCTGAGTTTCCATTTAACCCCTTAAAGTAAAACCTGCCCTGAAGTCCGCCTCAGTTCGATCCCTTTGCTTTCTCGACAGATCGTCGAAAACATTTGAGAAATTTACATCCTTCGTCGAGATATTAGTAGGAATCGACTTTCATCGATTGTTAGTACACATGTGCTATATAGGACGATTGATAGAAGGGCATACAACTCATGAGGTATACTACCGATCTTGTACAAATGTCCAAGTGAAAGTAACGCGTCAAGGAAGGCAAAAACAGGACTGACTTTTCCCGTGCATCGAATCGGATTCAAAAGAGCCCGAGTACACACGTCTGCTGCCATGAATAATATGACCTCCAGGCCTCATACATGACCCATAAGTCACAGCTCCACCCCGCAGGCCTTCTTTCTCGCCGCCCTCTTCGTTAATAGAATACTGGCTTAATGTATGCGAGTCCGTTGATGCATATAGGGACTGACGAAAAGATAGATAAGTGTTAAACTGCGTCAACTTCGTTTCGAGATGTAAGAGACATGCCTCTTTCCCGTTTGCCCCGTATATTTGAGCAAGCTTGGAGCGGTACGGCTGTGGGCGAGATCGAAAAGCGAAGCTGCCATGCCCTTCCGTCTTTTCCGAGACCACCCTGTCGGAGCGTTCACATTTCGCGTCGTCTGCTGCTGAAATGGGCATTCGAAGGCGACGCTTCGCGGTTGCCCAAAGGCTGAACATTGTGTGCTCCTTCTGAGCATCGTGACTTCTAGAAGAGGATGGGAATATATCGCCCTTGGCGTCGAGGTTGAGCTATGAGTTCAATTAGGCACTGATGTTGGCTACGTGGTGGGAATAGAAGGATAGACGTACAGAACTACGTGTTGTAGTACAAGAAATTTGAGATATTGGCCTCTGGGACGGCGTGAGCGACCTCTACTCGTCCATAACCACGTCAGTCTGACTGAGCATGGTAAAAATGACGTTACTAGCGGACTCACGTTGAGAAACGGTATGAAGGGTTCTGTGGTAGACGCAGGCCGCTTTCGGACCGCAGGTGTTTCCTGCTGGGCGCGAGTGTTCGCGTCGCCACCATCGTTCTCGTCATCCTTGCTCTGGCTGCCATCATCCTCGCTACATCCGAAGCTGTGCTGATGGTGCCCGCTGAGGGCGAGCTCGGCTCGATGTCGCTCTGGTTCTTCATCCCGGATAAAGGCAGGAGAGACAACTATCTCTGGCGCGATGGAAGGTGGTTCAGTCGCACTGCGGACATGGTGCTTCTCAACTGTCTGAACCAGGGCAATGCCCATCATCAGTATACGATTACAGATCGATAGTTCAAGCTGCGCACCTGTACGTGAGGGACCCCCTGCCCACCTGATCCATCCTGCTGACTCCAAGACTCGCCTACGCGCTGGAGGAAATCGCCTAGACTCGGTTCATCGTCAGCGTTGCGAGTAGGCTTATTTGGCCGCGCACGGATTGCCCCACGACGACGAAGACTTGACTGGGCGATGGCAGTAGAGGACATCGGGATGAGCTTGGAGGCATCGTCAGCCCGTTAGCTGGCGCTAAGTCTCCCATTTCTCCCGAGGCGGTCAGTGAAAGCCGGTGAACGAGGCGATGCGGGGCGAGTGACATAGCGGGGGTGTTATACCGGAAAAGCATTTGGCTGTTTGAGGAGTTGTAAGGGTCGCAGGATGGAGTCAGATCTGGCTTCTTAGGTTGACGAGCATAGAGGAGACCATGATATCGTTCGAATTCAGAGGAAAAATATAACGGATAACGGAGGAGAGATGGAGGTCGCGTAGGCCGGAGGCGGAAGCCGGAAGATGTAAGATATCAGACGCGGCAGTGCCCTACGCCCCTATGTCAAGAGTAAAGCATTGTTGACCTTATTCTCTCATGATGCATCGAGTCATCGTCTACCTGGTACCCACGTTAAACTTCCTGTGATATGCGTGCTTTCTCGAGCACGTTTCAAGCCTGAAAATCCTTGCCATCGGACCTTGACGCGAGAGGACGCGCCCTGGACGCGCCCAGCTGGAGCACTCTCAGACTCGCGCGACGCGGGCGTTGTGCAGAAATGAAGTCAGACACCGAATGGATTTGGTTCTATCGTGTCTCTTTAGTAAGCGATGCTATTGTGTTTCGAACTTCTCTGCATTTGACACGGTCTCGTGTGGGCGAGGATCGTCGACAAAGGGGAGAGAACAAGCAGAGACTAAATGGACGCTGGCTGAGCCAGCGTTATCCGATCAGGATGCCACACGGGCTTTGCGAGTAGCTGCCACCAAGCTTCCATAGCGCCGTCATCGTGAAGTTCGCTCACTGTTCTCCCTATCCTACGTGGAGGATGGTGCTTTCCCATGAATTGGAGTTGCTGATGGATGCTACGACATAACGTTTGATTTTAGCTAGCCTCATTCATCAGCGCGGTTTCACAGGATTCGTTGTGGTTGGTTTCGGTTACATGAACGCTCTAAGATGAGCTTTCACTATTCAGTGTGCACGCCTGGGCCTGAACACTCACATGCATTTTTTTTTCAACTAGGACGTCGACGGAAGCATATCGTCCCGATATATCCGGAGTTCGTCAAACGTATTTTGCCTAATGGTCAGACCAAGTTCGCGAGCGTCGATATCCCTACGGTGGGACCTACAATCGCCGCCAAAATCTTGTGCTGACCAAGCTCCTTGGTGAGAGCGATGTTCTGGTCGGGATATCACCGTTGTCGGCGCCTCTGTGGAGGATGTCAAGGTACGTAGAATATTCGAGTCTGTCTGCCAACGTCTGGTAACCTCGCTGGTGTCATATGTGCTATGGATTCTGGGCGCGGGGGCTAGTTGTCTCTTTCATTGGAATGATAAAATCCGCTCTTCATTACCAGCGATGTCCCCTTTTATCAGCCCTGCCCGTAACGCTCGTTCAAGCGCACCCTACACATAAAGTCCCTTTCTCATGGGTTTGAAGTCGTCGACAAGTAAGTTCTTGTTTTATGACAACACTCCGTAATTAGCCACAAGTGTTCTTATAGGACGCTGCTGTTCCCGCACTGCAACGATTTCGGCAAGAGGCTCGAAGGTCCAGACATTAAGTCGGTGTGGGTCGAGCCCGTTCCAGACCTCATTCATGGCTAGCTCAAGATGTGGACCTCCGTCACCGGCGCGCATCCCGCCCGCATTCCAAGATATTGGCTTGACAAACCAGGTGTCGACGCCCCAATAGGCCGGTCACTAGCATACTCATTGTCTTCACCTTGATGCAGATATCGAAACATTACAGAGAAAACCATCGCCCTTGGGTCACCAACACAGGCACCACCACCTTGGGTTCGTGCTACCATTTCTGACGTTCGACGCGATCGGCTCACGCTTGTCGGCGTTCTTAGCCGAGCTCTTGCAATATGATATTGTCGCGGCTACATCACGTCTCATAACCCTGAATTTTGACGGTTTGACAGTTCGTCGTGACATTGCCGTCTGAACATTGGCAATTTATTTGACAGAAGCTGAATTAGGATTTATTTGCAAGGCCAAAGTCCCCCCAACTTTTGGCGGACGGGTCCCGGGACGATTGAATTGAAAAGACGCAACTCAATTCCACTTCAATTCCTGACTGCAAACTCAGCCTATTGAACCCGTCACTTCACGGTCCCAGGCTGGGAACACGCGCTGGAAATCTCCAAGCACGGGCCCACTCCTTCGAACCCGCCGTCTGCTGGTTGCCCTCGGGAAGCACACAGTGCCCACTTACTCATTCGCTCAGGTCAGGCTGCAAGAGCGTCTTCATGGACTATGCTTCTATAGTTGGTGAGTGAACTTGCAACGTGTACTAAACTCTCGAGCTGAGAATAGTATGTGCTCGGTAGGATGTGTTCTCTTGGGTACACTGTGTGAGTCCTGTTTCATTTGCACGCTATCGTCATTCACACTCTTGCTTCAGTCAACACATTTCTGTTCGGCATAGTGTCCCAACGATATGTCACTTATTTTACATCAAGTCATGGTGGGTCGCCATCTTAGCTTTCTCAATATTAAGCATATGGCTGAGGCTCAAAGGTTCTGAAGAGGGACATGCCATAAAGTAAAACTTTCTTTCAGTTTTTATTACCAAAACGGTGCCTTAATGGTGCTAGGATGATGGTTTCCCTGCTGTGTCTTCTAGACGCCGTCTTCAGTGCTTTGTGAGTCTTTATAGTCCCGATCTTGCAATAATCGACAACTAAGTCTCCCTAACAGTCAGATTTATGCGGTATGGTTTGTTGCGTATGTCCATTACCCCTATTCATCTGTCAGATCTGAAACATCTCTGCAGCGTTGCTAACTACAACAATCCATCCGTGGGCCTAGGTCAGTTTTGGAGTGTCTCTTCATTCAATTTAGTTGACGATTCGAGAAGTGACAATACCGTGGCCTGTTTGCTTGAACCCGATTGCAACGGGGTGTACCGCCATGACAACGCAGATGTTTCTGACTTCGCGGTGAGACCTTGTTCAGCTTCTCTGATCCTCATGCACTGATCCCTCTTGCCAGCATATGGCGATTATGCCGCAGCCGCCTGCTAGTCGGAATATCCATTTTTCTGGCATCAGTGACCTTTCTGGTTGGTTTCGCAGGGGCGGCGGAGTTGCTGAGCTCCAGATTGTACGTTTCTACATTACATACTAATTTAAAGCACGCACAGTAAACAATCGAAACAGGCATGCTGACTCGTACACTCAAAGAGGCACTCATGGCATCTTAGGCTCGTTAGTCGTTGCCTGGTCAGCCCTCCAAGTTGCTACCGATGTGTTCATTACAGGTACGCCTATAGAGTTGCCGCCCGCTTCCGCTTATAGTGTCACTCAACGACTTAACACTGCTCACTCTCAGCTAGTCTCATTATCATCCTAAGCAAAACCCGCCAAGGTCTGGCTACTGCAAGCGCCCGGCGAGATTACGGAAGGATTATCAACACACTTATTCACGGCTCCATTCAGACGGGCGTTCTTGCCGGAGGATGGGCAATCGGCACTCTCGTCGCGGTGATCGCTTGGCCCCAAAGTGATCTCTCCGGTGCCATATCGATCTGTCAAGGCCGCATATACACAATTGTGAGTACAGTGTCATTAACAAGAGGACACGCTGATTCGTACTTGGGATGGTTCACCCAGACTTTACTTGACATACTCATGGGTGGCCCTCGCGCCGGAAGAAACGCGGATGATGTAGCCTCAAACACAATGGTTCTTCCGCAGGTGGATCTATTCTCAGATACGCTGTTGTAATCGTGTTCTCACTCTGCTGCATCTTATCATGTTGATGAACATAGCTCACCACCGCTATCGGAGACCCAACTTTTGATACCACGGCATCCCTTATCACGGCGACCGGCAATTCACCTATCTAAGGTTGCACTCTCTTCGTCGTTTGGCATCATGGATCGTCAGCCTTTATGTTTACCGTGACATGACACACGTTTTGATGTCCATGTGTATCCGGCAGATGTCCTCCGAAGTTAATTATATGCAGGATATGCAGGAGGATTTCCCGAAGACCTCGAGCCAGCGGCATGTCATTTTGCCCGAAGATGTCGGGCCAGCGGCATGCGGCCGCTGCTGCCCCAGCACAGAGATTTCACCACTGTAGCTGGTGCCTGTCGAGGCGGCTGGCCTGCTGTTATTCTGCCGGCATTAGTGGGGTGTGTCGGGCTGGTTACACAGGGCCCCAGCACTGCCTCCGGCCACATTGATGCGTGCTCACCGTCATTTCGTCGGCCTCAGTCGGACGTGTCGGGCTAATTACACAGGCCTCCAGCACCATTTTCCGGCCACATTGGTGCGTGCTCACCGTCAATTTGTCGGCCTCAGTGGG